CGAGAAGGATATTGAAATCTACAAACCTGGAGCCTTAGCACTTAAAGCGGCTGGTCAAAGCGGGGAGTATGATCTCAGTTGCCTGACTGAGCCCGAAAATATTTTATCCAATACGAAGCCGTCGTATCAGAGAATGATGGCGGATCTTATGACTGGGATAAGTCCCCCTTTTGAAAGACAACTTAGGTCTTCAACACTCACATTGATCTTTGAGGATGCAGGAAGAACATCAGCAATGAGCTAATTTCTATCAGCGCGAGATTGATGTCGGCATATATTGAGTGGCATATATATCTCTATGACAAAAACGTCAAGCGTTCTGCATCCAGGTCATTGCCCCTAACAAAATGAATCTAGCGATTTTCCCTTCCCTTGAATCAGGGCAATAGTATGGGTATATATAGCACGTTCTTGATGTGTAAGCTTAAATTAAATTTCCTTGCTGGGGGCAATAGCCCTAAATTTGTTATCATGTACTACCTAAGGCACCGTCAGTATCCTCTTATATACCAAGATGGAACCTAACCTAATGGTTTACAAAGTGTACTCCTAAGGGGTCTTCTCTATTCTCTTACTACGAAATATATGACAAGCTGGATCTTCTCGCGCCCATTTTCTACGATTCAAAAGGTGCCTAGACGGTGCGATTTATTCGAGTACCCCCAAGAACCATATTGAGCCACTTGACTCACATACAGCTAGGTACTAAATATGTCTCAGGACAGCGTGAGAAAATATCTCCTTTCCTATCACTGAACTTAATATCTTAGCTACCTTGGCGGTTCAGTGGAAGGAAGAAGACATCGTCAGGTTCGAGAAGCTTGGTGAAGGAATTTTTAACCGAGCTTTCATAATGACTCTGTGCGAGAATTTTGGATTTCAGACACTGTTTTCATACTCATTTACTGAGCCAAAATTCCTGGTAGTTTCGCCCGGCCTCACCAGGGGGTAACCTCTCATGAGTATATTCATATAATGATGGATATTTTCGCCACAAACAGACTTACAATATAGGTACTCTTCATCTCACATACAATGTGGGTTGTGATGCTCACCATTTTGACCCCGCAAGAAGCCTTGGTATCCTTACGCGCTGCGCTCAAGCTATTTCGACGCCGGCCAAGGCCAGCTCCGCTAAGCGTGTGGAATCAAACATGGCCCCTGAACAAGATGATCGTTTATGATCGTAGCGCATCCACAATTTGTACACTGCTATTGCTTCCCCAAAAGAAAAACAGGAAAAACCAGACTCATTTCAAGCTGTCTTACAAGGGGAACACTCCTGTAAAGGGGTTTGTTTCTCGGGCTTTGACTCCCTGTTCTCCAAGCTAGAAGCAGCAACAAGGGGCTGACAAGACTTTTGAAAAGCCTGCCAAGCGCTACGTTAGAATACCCGTCCTGCTCGTACCCCATCAAAATCTAGCCAACTTCAGCTACACTAAGACGGACCTTCTAATCACTGAACTACCCTGGAATTTCATGATCTGTTAATGCAACAATTGAATAAAAGGATATATCTAAAATTTGGACTAACCCGAGTAGTAAATCTCGATGCACCGCATACCCAAAGATAATTGCAATGTACACCCCTGCGGGCCAAGTGGGGCAAATACTTTAGCAATAAAGCTAAACACAACGCGTCGTATGGCATTTACCCCCTTGTGATGGTGGAACTCTCGCCCATTATGCTATGGCTTTCTTTAGTCAATTTCGTTTCCCTAGAGCAAATGGCACCTGCGGAGCGACTTCCGGCCATGAGAGCTCGCTTTTCGGCTCAGTAGAGGTGCGAGTCGTAGAACAGAATGTGAAACCGCTGCTGGAGCGTTGTGATGCTTTTGGGCTCTCTATACTCTTACTAGGTAATCATTCTAGTGGGCCCTCTACATCTCCTCCTCGTGCTACCGCTGGATACCGAGGGATAACGCGGGTAATCTCATGCCGAGATCGCGGCCAAGTCGTGGGCTGTGCCCTCTCCCACTGTTACCAGCCTGCTTGTTCTTCTCCGGCCTTCGCTATTCTACGACTGACTGCCTTATTGCTCGCTTGTTTCCTATGTTACTCCGTGCCGTGAAGGATTATCTTCTTCAAAAAGTTTGTTAACGGCTTTTTTTTCGACCTTTGGTCGAGCGGCATTTTCTCCTTGGCTAGATCCGCAATCTCCTCTACACTTAGCAGTATCTTCTCCCTTGCCAGGGTCTCAAATTCTTCGCTCTGTCTTGCCCTAACCTCTCTTGCCGCGAATTTAGTTTCTTTGCATTAGATGATCCCTTTATACCGCATAGCTTGCCGGAAAAATCATTCTGCCAAATTAATTGATGGCACCCTGTTCTCGCCAGTCACGATATGTTCACTCACGTATTCCTGTGGGTCACATATTTTTACATGACTGAAAGCCCTCAATCTACTGTAGACCCCTAATCACTGTTTAGGTATTGCTCCAGCAGAAAAACTTACGTTTCGAATCCTGACTTTATGTTCAGAATTCTCTATTTACGGCTTGTGTGTTTTAGGTTACATGTTTGCAGTTTACATTTTTGGGGTATACATTTTGCAGATTACAATTTTGCGGATTTTCTAGGGTATGTGAATGTTAGATCGGTTCTAGGAATAGCGTAGGTCTATGTTTAATAAACCGTCAGAGCGACCGTTGGAATTTCTTGCGGAATGTGGGAGGTTGGGGGATATAAAGTCGCACCTTTCACCCCCATTCTGCCTCACTCTGCTCCTCACTACATCCGAACTGAAAGACACAAGTCATACTCTCTGTGACCGCACTCAAAGATTTGCGTAAGTCTGCTATACCACTTAACAAGGAGTTTCTATCTAATAAGATGCAGAAATCACTTGCCTTTACCTCAACAAAATGCACTACATTACTTCAATCGTGGCCCTTCTTGCCGTCACTTTGACTGCAACAGCCTGCCAGCCAGGCACTTACGAGTGTGGATCGAGTGGGGGCCATGTCGTGGTTAACGTTTGCAACGGTTCAGGCGCATTGGTCGTCGCCGCACAGTGTAACTCAGGCCAGAGCTGCACTGTCCAGGGTGGTGTTGGTTACTGTGTCTGATAGCAACTAAGCTACATTTCGACGCGCACGGATCAACTTTCTTGATGGAGATTTTGAGGCAAACCAGCCATAGTGAAGGATGGGTCCCCGATGTGCAGCTCATCTCTGTACTAGAAATGAAGCATGCTGATATGTTCCGGCTTGCATCAATATTTGGATAATTTGAAAGTCTCCAATCTCTTCAGCAATTGAATTGCCTCTGAAACCGCTTCTGAACGTACTTCTACCTACTTCAATGCTCATGAGCCAGTGCGTACCTTCAACAATGGATGTTTCATTAGGAAGTTTTGGATGTTGACATTGGACACTAGCAGGGAGGAACATGACCCAGGATGCAGCCAGCCATAGATGGGAGAGGGGTTTAGCGGGGGAGTAGGGTGTCCGTTCTTTCTATGTATTGGCTGTCCTAACGGCAGCATCGTGCACTTGTGGGATTAGTAGCCCTTTTCACTAACACCTTCCACTATGTTCCTCTATTTCAGAGCAATCATTCATCCCCTCACTATAATGAGGATTATAGGAAGCATTAAGATGACGAGTCGAAAACATAATACGCCTCCGGGCAAGAGTCTGTAGGGAAATGGTTTTGAAGATCTAGATGGCCAGCCTCACTAGTCGATTAGATTGGGTGAAAGATGATATGGCGGTTAGAAGAAGAAGTCATGAGTTTGCGGTTCTGAACAGCAGTCCTTGAATCTCGGTCTTGAAGCAAATGATATATTATGCTATCAATGACTACTCAATGCCAGGGTTCCCTCAGAATGTACCGAAACCAGTCAATTGGGCCAAGTGCAAGAAGCAGAGTTCATGATTTGTTCATTCAATCTAACATCCAATCCAAGATTTTCGACAGCTTCTCGGGGGCGAGGTCTTGATTTGCTGTATCTACAAAACATTTGATCAGTGGGGCTTGCTAATCCCATATAGATGACAAAAATATAATTTGAAAATGTTTCTTGCTGATTATCAAACATACTACACGTCGCTGGGTGCGTGCGATGATACATGATGTCCATGATGGTCGCTAGTGTAATGCGGGGTAGATATATTTGTCGGATGTCACTTTTTATTAGAAGCTAGAATTGAAGCTTGAAGGCTTTGGAAGATCACAATCATGTGGGCGATATACACGTTCCATAACCATGTGGAATACATGAGCTTTCCACGAGTTTGAACTCAAGCATGTATAGAGGGTTCTCGAAGTCAGCTTAACTGGCACGTACTAAGACCTTTTTTACTTCGGCCCTTATGCCAAGGCGTTATCGTAGATGACATATCAAGCAGGCTCTATTGAGATCGGAGGCCCTATAAATGGCGATTTATCTAGTACTAGTATAGTGACCCTCAAGGTTAAACGCTGGGGAGTTGGGCTGGACCTCTGCATAACCTAACGTAATCTGGACCTAACTCGGAACAACCCGAGCTGGGTCAGGTTCTGGGTGGAAGACTCTGACCCAATGCTAGTTACGGCTTACGATAGCCAACCCAGCGTCTGGTCCGGGGCCCAAATTGGGTTACAAATAATGCAATTACAATCCATGCAACAACAGATGGGGCATAGGAAAAGTAGTGTATCTAGTACTCGTTGAACATATAAATCGCCATGATCATCGCAGTAAGATATCCTAATTACTAACTTTATTAAATGGTTATGCAAAAGTCTAGTAACGGTGTAGTCTACAATTTTATAGCCGGAGATCTAAAACCTACAAGATTTGATTTCCAGTCATTCTCCACTAAGCGTGGTTTGTTAAAATGAATGATGTGCACTAGGGCCTCAGTCGGGAGAGCCCAAATTCAAGATCAACGGAAGATAGTTCCTCCCTTCTGTTGAAAACAGCACAACTACGTCAGACATCCGGCAAGCCACGTGATCATATAGGAAAATGCCCGCGGGCCGAGACCGTCACGCGCGCTCCACAAGCGATCCTGATAATCGAAACCGGGAAATCGGCGAACGCCACCGTCGGTGGGGGATAATGACTCCGCCAGCCATTCTGCCCTACCCAGGATCGTGTTTCTTGGCTCTTGAGGGAGAAAGGAAATGTTTAATCTCCTCAAATCTCTTCGGCAAGACCAGTGAAGCTTTGTTGGCTAATCTCGCGTGGTTCCGAAGCAAGACTGGCTACACCGCAGAGCCTGCGCCCAGCTCAGCATGGAAGCCTCGGTGCGTGAACAGCGCGACGGAGATCGGCGTGCGCGAGAATTGTACCATTACTTCCAACCCGACAATCCGGCCCTTCTGTCGCCAGGGGACGCCCATGCGATCCCCTCCGCATCGACCGTGAAATCCAGCCCCAATCTGGTTTTGACCGCGCTCACCCAACTCGCGGCCGTGAAACTTGGAGTTCAACGGGCGATCATCAGGTATCGCTTCTTTCTTACCTCCATGCTACATAAGTCATCTTGAGCTCGTTGCTATGGACGCTCGAGCAAATACTTGAAACTTGAAACCAAGCCCACCAGTCATGAGTGGGTCGCAAAGCGGGACTAATCGTATAATCTTATAGTCTCATCGATCGGGAAACACTGTACGTGGTTGCAGAGGCCTCGCGGTCACTACATTTGGGCAAATTTGATGTTTTTGATGATGATGGGGACGGGCTCTGGATGGGCTGCGCACGCGGTCCGGTAGCGGGGACCCTATGTGAGGTACACTGCCAATGTGGAAATGACCATCATATCACCTTCCTGGGCTTTGCTAATTTGCGCCTGTCCATTCAGAAAACAATTACATTACTCCCGACCCCCGAGCGAAAATACCCGTTCTTTGTGGTGGATGATTTGAGACTACATCCGGCGTATTGCAATATACCATGTGTCGCCAGGGATCCTTTCTTTCGCTTCTATGCCGGCACACCCTTGACCACGTCGAATGGCATCAATATTGGCAGCTTATATGTGATCGATCCCCGGCCCAACTTGCCTTTGACCGAAGCCCACAGAGAGACACTGGGATCTATTGCGGATGCCGTGATGGACTACATGGAAACGTCGCGCCAATCGCTTGAAGCCGAACGCTTGACCAAGTTGCTATCGGGTCTCAGTACGTTTGTGCAAGGGGAAGATAATGCCGACCCCTTGAACAAGTCAATGCCTCATAGCGCCGCTTCCTCGGACCAAGACCGTTCCCGTACACCAAGTCCCCATCATGGAGAGAAGCATATAGCGACATCGCCATCCCCTAGGGAAACGAACAGAAGTCCACCTTCACCAGCCGTCAGTCAATTGAAGGGTGTCGCTAACCCCGCAAATCATGCGATACCTCTTCTCCCACCGGCAACGCACATAGCATCAAGTCCGCATGTGCCAGCCTCGTCATCGGTTTCTAGTGGTAGTAGAGTAAACCAGACCTTCCAGCGCGCAGCAAGCCTCATGCGACAAAGTCTGGGGTTGGAATCACATGGCGGCGTCCTCATCGTCAATACCAACGTACCCGCTGAGACGAACGCCGTTCATGGTGTCGGTCAGCACCGCCATAAGGGAAAGATGGTCAGAGTCTGCGCCCTGGTGGATGCAGAGGTCCCCTCCATCGAAAGTGGCTCGGGTTGCAGTTCACTACCCGCTACACAGATGGACCTTTCCTTCGCTCGCCGAGTCCTTCGGCGTTACAGGCGCGGTGGGCTATGGTATTTCCACCAGGATGGAACCGCCTTCTCGTCCGATGATGAAGAGATTAGCTGCAAGGGTCAAAGGAATGAGTCATTTTCGCCTTCGACAATGCACCCACAGTCCTTCGGCACAATGCCAGCAAAAGATGCCAAAGCTTTGAAGAAGTATTTTCCTTCCGCAACGAAGATTATCTTCGTTCCTCTTTGGGACTCGTTCAGTTCTCGCTGGTTTGGGGGCTGTTTCATCTGGAGCTCTCTCGAAACTCGTGTTTTCAGCGCTCATGTTGATCTTGGCGGCCTTTTTGGATTCGGCTCGTCGTTGATGGTCGAGTACAGCCGTATCTTAAGTCAGGATTCAGACAAAAAGAAGGCCGATTTTATAAGTACCATCTCGTATGTACCCACTTGCTTGTCGCCTACTTCCTTATATTCTACGCGAGGAACATTTACTAAGACTCGTCCAAAGCCACGAATTGCGCAGTCCATTGCATGGGATTCTAGCAGCCAATGAGCTTCTTGCAGAATACGTCGTGTCGGAGTCTGCGAGCAGGCTGCTTGACACGATCCGTGCATGTGGCCAGACTCTCCTTGACACATTTGAGCAGATTCTCGACTACACCAAAATCAACTCTTTCGCAAGCAAGCGACAGCACTCTCGCAATGACAAACTTACCTCTCAACCCTTGCATATTGCCAAATCAGTGAACGTCGTTGAACTCGTTGAGGAAGTCGTCGAAAGTGTCTTCGCGGGCCAAATTTTGTCGGGTGTGATGACTCCATTCGGTAGTTCCCCTGCAAATTGGTCTTTGGATGTGAACGGGGTCCAGAATACAGCATTGGAGCTCGGTGATTGCGATCACGTCGATCTTATACTTGATGCCGCACACAAGGATTGGGAGTTTGTCCTAGAACCAGGGGCACTGCGTCGCATTGTTATGAATGTGTTGGGAAACGCGTTAAAGTATACACAACGGGGAGCCGTCACTATCCGTCTTGAGATTCAGGAGAATCATGATGGAGACACTAGTCAGGCATTGTCTGTACACGCTGATTCCCAGGTCCTCCTTATTACTGTCTCTGATACGGGAAAAGGAATTTCTGCAGAATATCTCCAGTCCCACATCTTCACGCCATTTTCTCAGGAAGATGGGCTATCTCCGGGCACGGGTCTTGGTCTTTCACTTGTTCACAGTATCCTCCGGTCGGTTGATGGAAAAATTGCGATTGAAAGTCAAGTCGGAGTCGGAACTACTGTCAAGATGGCCTTTCCGATCTCTCAGCCGCGCCATCGCAAGCCTTCAGATACCCAGACCCCCAGATATAGTTCCCTTCTTCAATCGTCAAGCCCGATTGCAGCTGTGCGGAGTAGTTTGGAAGGCAAGATTTTGCGGGTTATCACTCCGCAAGATCCTGCATCTGTCCCCTCTCCTCCGAATAATATGATCAAGTACTACCTTACGGAATGGTTTGGAATGATCAGTCAGACCAACGATTCCACTTTACCCGCCGATTTATCAATAGTTGATGAACATGACCTTCACCTTCTGGTCAGCCCACCACAGACTCTGCTCCTTGTTCTCTGCCACCGAGGGCCCAAATCATGGTCGAGAACGGTCGGTCCAAACAAGATCCTTCCGAACTCCTTTCGCGTTACTCTACCTTGCGGTCCTCATCAACTAGCCCGAACGCTTTTGAATTGTTTTCAGGGCACGAGGCTCAAGAAGTCACCCTCAATTGATAAACGCTCGTCTTTGGAACTCTCAAGTCATTCATTTAAATGTGACCAGGTTTTGAAGACTGAGATCTCTTGCAACCCCGCGGCTGCGGATCCTCCGTCCCCGCAAAAAACCTCATATCTTAATCAGACAATTGGCTTGAAGCCCCATATTACAGAGTATGGTGGCGATAAGCCGAAGATTAGCGCCATCCCCTCACCCCCTGTGGAGGAAAACTCGCCGAATATTGTCGCAAATAATTTACAAAGCATGCAAGTGTCACCGAACGGCTCAAAACCTAGGCCGCGAATCCTTTTGGTAGAGGACAACGCCATCAACCTCGCTTTATTGGAAAAGATTGTCGCGCGAACGAAACCTGAAATCCTCGACACGGCCACCAATGGACAGGAAGCTGTCAACTCGGTGCGGGCGATGTCCGGTGGCTATCAGTACATCTTTATGGGTGAGTACACATTCGTATATCGCTTTTCACGATCCATTCATTCCTTGCTCACCAAGTGCAATCAGATATATCTATGCCTATAATGGACGGGTTTGAAGCAACCCGAATAATTCGATCGATTGAAAGGGCACGCCAAGCACAAATACCTGCCAAAATCATTGCACTTACTGGCTTAGGATCTGATGAACATATTGCGAGGGCGTATGAGGCAGGCGTGAATCTTTTCCTTACGAAACCTATCTCCTTCAAGGAGATCTTACGCCTTTTGAATGAGGACGAGCATCGCCGAGTAGCAGTCCCCGGCGTGCAAAGTCCATGATAACCTAAGTAGATAGATATTCATTTTCCAGTTTTACTTCTCAGGCTTATTGAAGATAATTAAGAAGGCAATACGAATGGAGTCAATCTGTTGAAGTTGAAAAACTTCCTGAGAGCTTGTGGAGGATGGGAGTGGGATATTCATAGTTATACTATATAATTCTTCACGGTTTCTAGGACTATTCTAGTGTCCTATTTGCCTTCCAGATCGTCGGGGATCTGTATTACGTCAAATTCCATTGTCTACTTCGATGATTTTGACATTTGATTAGGGAAATAGGATGGCTCAAGTTCTTCCTTTCCCCTATGCAGGACGGGGGATGTTTCGACTATGGCATTATCCGAACAATGAGCCATGCTATATTCACTTTATCGGAGGCACCGCCGCCGGGCACGTACCAGGAATTTTAGGATAACAAACAAAATCAACAGCCGTCATTAGACACGATTTCGGATGTAAAACAGATCTAAGGGCCTAAATACACCCCAGCATGACTCACCTTTTCCACCAACCGCCACCATTTTAAATTATCTGCCAGCCAGTATCTCCCTCGAATTTTCAGGAAGAACCTCAAGTTGGAGCATATTTGACCTTCGAGATGTCCAATCAATCGTGTGCACCATGAGAAATTTTTACTATACATAAATATGGAAATCGTCTTTATGTCACGGTGCGACCCTTCCTACCCAGAGAGGGTTGCATATTGAGCATCCCAGCAGTCGATATACAAGTGGAATCTCGATAATTGTGTAATCAGGGAGCGGGCGAAGATAACGGTGTCGGATGGGAATCTGAGATTTCATTATCTGGCGTGCATTCTTACTTGGAAGTCACTGACGGTAGTCGGGATTTCCAGCCCGTCAAGCAATAGGCATGAAGGCTATTCACTAAAGCGGCGGACAGCTTCCTCATTTTTCTCTAGGTACTATACTAAAAATAACGTTTTTGAACAAAATTTGGTAGCATACTGCGGTTAAAGGCGATACAAAACTGACTTTTTTACTTGCTGTTAACGAGCCCCAACTAAATGAAACCCAAATGTAACACAGCAGTCGATCGGAGTTCCTCCATTTGATCCACGCTTGGTAGTGTTAGTTCTCGGCGATAGAAACCGGAACCTCTCCGATAGTACCGGATTCTTTCCAATTTCCGATATCGACTCGATATTTCGGATTGTGGTTACGGATCGCGATTGAATTTTGTTCCCCGGGCTGTGTAGTTGCACGCCAGGTAAGAGTGCAGATTCTTGTATCCCTCACATCGTCAACAAGATCTATCGCGCCAAAAGGTCCTAAAGTAGAACCTGGTTCGCTTATAGAGCAGACTTCTCGGCTGCCGCCATTGTGACGAATGCTCATGTCATTAATGTCATCGGTGGTCAGGACATCATTTGGATTACCCAGTCTGTAGAATTCCCCGCTAGGTTGATGTCAGCAATTGCGCGGGAAAATGACTCAAAGTAATTTGTGAAGGAGATACCTTTCCATTTGAGCATTTTCGAGACGGATGTCATACTTCATGTCATCTTGAATGATGATGTCGAGATATTGGTGTGTAGAGGCCATGTCGATCTTTTCGATTAGACTGATAATTCCTGATAGTAGAAAGAAGCAGTTAATGCTAATCCATGCCGAGGATAATATACTTCGTGGTCAAGGAAAAGCATAGCAGTGTATGTACCGTACCAATGAGGTAGATACGGTATAGAAGGGCGCCCACCTTTGCGTTCTTGGCGTAAAGAAAGGGAAGAATTACACAGAGTCAGGCAATCTAACCCGTAGAGGAGAAATTCCGTCTTATATGTGTATCTCGCTGGAATCCTCTTTGTCAAGGTTAGCAAATACCATAGTGACGTAGGCTATTTCTTCCTGCGCGTAAGGTGGCGTTCGTTGCAATTAGAGTTGGAACCGTATTGGTCAACACCGTAGGATGATTATACACATAGTTGAAACATGGAAAAAGCTAGGCATTGCCGAAAGTCAGTTGACATCTAGACAGCTGACGATAGACTTCACATTGGTCATGAGGTCATATTAAGTATTTTCCGATATTTCTTTAGCGGGGGTCTCTACGTACCTCAGATTTGGTATTGTACTCACAAAGCCGTGGTGTGAAGCCTCCGGTAGACTGCAGCGACTTGGTCTATCAATATATTTAATTCGTCCCTGCGTTCCGACCAATCGTTACGATATACTCCCTTGCCTTCCTTCTAGTCTCTCTATCAGAGGCGTCACCGAAAAGGCAAAGAGTATCTTCGGACACGAAGTACGTTTTCTCTCAAAAAAGATGGTACCTCCAACCTTAATTTCTTTCTTCGTAGTCTCAATCTCCTCAGCAATGTCAAATTACGTTGAAAAGTCTACTTCGTCTACCTTTTCGTCCAATGTCACTCGCTTACCTACTATCTTCATTAATCCCCGCCTTGTGATCTGATTAGGGTGAACATGTTCCGAAATAAATTCTGCCGATACATCATTCCCACTAGAGATTCCCAGGCAAGTATTCACTTTCGTATAAAACACATCATACCTCTAAAAGAACGGCTAGGGCTCAATCATTACCTTCATCGGCGCCACTTCAAAAGTGGTAGCGTACCAAAACTTCGACCTAGTGTCATCCTGCCCTTCGGATCACTACGGGCATCCAATGTCGGCAATGCACTTTCCTTCGCGCAAGCCTTGAATTGATGAGCGGACTTGTGAGAAGTTAAATGTTCTTGACAGACCCTCTACCAAATCAAACTTCAATGCGGTATGGTATCATGGAAAAACATGTCTGTCACTGTTCGTGTATGTCGGCTTGATTTAGTCGACAGACCCATGCATGAGCTGCGCGATACCTCCTTACTAGAATTTATTCAATGGTTGATCTAATTGTGATGCAAAATTCATTGGTAAACAACATCCTCGTTCAGTCTTTCGTCAGCTACCCTCCTGTGTCCCCGGACCGTCACTGTATGAAGTCTTTCAGCGTAGGCCGCATTCGTTCGCCGAAGCAATCCCCACCCCTTTCACAATACCTGGTAACAATTTACACATATGACCACAGCTGCTTCTTCAACGGACTCCGTACATTCAGAGAAAGAAAGCCGTTTCCATCAACCTGAATGCAACTTCCAGCATGGCTCAAATTCTCCAATGTATTAGAATTTATTAGTGGTCCTTTTGTTCAGCGGAAGCAGAGTAAGGACTTTGTAATATGTGATCCAGGCCTCTTCGGAATTCACCGTTTTTACCTAGAGATCCTAGAATCTAACTTGACTGAAGGATAGTTGAGATGAATCTTAAAAGGGATCTAACAGAGCCGATCGACTTATTTTCGAAATTTGAGATACTGAGAGGGGGAGGGGGAAGGGGTCGTGTTGCTTTGCCAAGACATTATCTGATTTCCTATATACCAGGAAGACCCTGTCTGCATGGATATTTGACGATCTCAGAAACTGTCGCCGATCCCCGCGCCCTCGGCCAGTCCGCAGGTGCAGATGCCCGTCGCCCGTTCATGAAATGTTATTCAAAGTCGGAAAAACTCAGCTATGCAATTATGCGGCCATGATGTGTCAAGCCACCATCCTCGGTGCGAGCTATGGAACGCCGCGGGAGGTCCCGGTGCGTTGGCTGGCGTGATGAAGGAGTGGTTGATCAAGGGCATGAGTCAAGGAAGCTTCGGTTTACCCACGTTCTGTGAAGAGCTTCGTGGATTCAAATGATGAGGTCTTAACTGACGGCCTAGTCGCACGGAATCGAAGGCTACTTCGAAGAGACGGCTCCATCCAAGGCAGAACGTAATCACCCGCGATATGTTCCTCGAATGTGAAGCCACATTTCCGCAAGACTTTGACGGAAGCCTCATTCTCGGCGTCGCAGTATGCCTCCAGGATGTCAAACTGTGGCTTAGCTTGCCAGTATAATTGGACAAAAGCATTCAACGCTTCCGTCGCAAAACCAAAGCCCCATGCCGATCGATTAAAAATGAAGCCAACCTCTGGGATGGGTTCTGACCTCCAAGTTCCCACCCATCCAAGAAAGCCACCTGGCCGAAGCACTGTTTCGCTTGCAGAATCGCCTGGATGGCCATTACTCGAACTGATTTCGGATCGAAGTAGGACCGCATAATTTTCTCCCAGGGGGTTCACGTCAAGCAGTAGCTCTGCCATCCATTTCTCGCTGGCTTCAACGGTTTCGCAGCGACCGTGAGGGCTCCACCGAGTCGCGATGGGATCTGACCAAATGGCGTGGTAGTCAGGCACATGGTGTGCTTCAAGTCGAACCAGTTCTAAGCGGGGAGTCTGCATCATTGACGTAGGGGTATGAACCGGCCGAAGTTGGCTGTATGACAACCGGGAGAGACAGTTGAAAAGAACGATGTCTTGATCCGAACGGTATGAGTATCGCAATCAATTTGCAGAGAATGATATTTCGCCCAAGGAGCCTATCTTTTCCAGCGATCTTCTATTTAAACCTTTCTGTTTTTCTAGAAGCAATAATAATTGAGAATCAAATTCTGACTCCGGTCGGAGTCCGTTTCTGGAAGTCGGGGAGCTTTGTGGCGCTGACCAAGCCCCCTCTCCCCGATATGGCGCAGAGTAGAAGATAAGAGCTACAACAAAATTCTACTATGATTGCGCTTACAACCAAGATTCCTTGATGGTATATGTGAGCTATTTGCCAATTCTATCCTTTTCTAACTTTGACTACACGAATACGCCTCCCTTTTACACGATCAATGCCTGGTGCTGGCTCTAAATGGCTTGTCTGTTGATTTCTGCGTCTATTCTTGGCAGCACTTAGGCACGACGTTGCATGGCTTTGCACATAGCGGAACTCAGTTATTGAGACACTGGAATAATGCCACCGGTAACAGCCTCTCGCCATTCAGGGCGTAGCTTAACTGTGCATATACCAGCCCCTCTTTGGCATCGTTCACTAGCCGCAAGCCAAGGTGTCGAAGGACTGCATTTTGCCGATACCAATTGAGCTATGTTCTATACGTTCTATGAGCAATGCGGAGAATGGCCTAGCACACCAAGTATGCAAAAGCTCGGAGCCAAGGAGACTTTGGGTCCACATCCCTCGTCGGCCCCACCAGATATATTTTCCAGCGCTTAAATCATGATCTCAAGATAGCTTGCTTGCTCTTTCTTGGAGGTTGAATGGCCGGTATCGATCGATTACTTGTCCTGGAACGGACGGAGGAATGAGGACCAGCTTGCTTTTTCTAGATCGATCTTGAATCAGCTTCTCCAAGGTCCAGGGTTTACTCTGGATTCAGGTGAAAGTAGGGAGGATTCGATATCTAGATGTGGAGCCGATTTCATGAGATCATGCTGGAGAACACATCCTGAAGGGCCTCCACTATCAACGAGCTTGGAGGAGTTGAATCACTAAGCCCCCTTTTTTTTGTGTCTGGTGAAACTCTACCCCGCAGAACGCGTAATTCGACCTTCAAGAGCTCATAACGAAAGGACCGAAACAATTGACTCTAATTTCACGCCTCTGATCTTCATTGGATACTCGAATCCATAAACCAATTACAAAGTCCAGCACTCATCGGCTCCACATCTGTTTGTATCGGCATCAATTTCGCCCGTCAGGAACGGGCATCAGCTAGACAGGGGATTCTGCACATCTCACTGTCTAAGCAAACCGTCCCGTGTCTGACCGGGGTATCGAGAGAGCGCTGATCAGTTGTAACTTTTGATTTCGGTGGACAATCTCTGTACCGGGTTAGTGAAGAGGTGCCAGCTCAAAGTTCAAGAGACAGTATAAATTTGGAGCTACTTCCGGTCCATTGCGATTATCAGCACAATCAAACAAAAAATCATACAGTATTGCGAAGATTTCAATGATGCTCGTATTAGTTCTTTTACTTGCGGCTTTCAGCACGGCCACCATTACAATCCTCGATCCCAGCGACTTTGCAGATCTAGCAACTGATGAAGCCGATAATGCGCTGACTGCGAATTGGAATTATGCTCCACTTTCATACCAAGCATATTCAATCACTGGGCCCTACGTCTATAATGACACCTCCAAAGAAATCTCCCACAAGACTCTTACAATTGCCAAGAATGACACCAGTGTCGTCGTGATCACGGAGAATTCGCAAGTCAATATCTCTGGGTCTACTGTGATCAAGAATGGCTACTCGACTGACTTGTACCAATCGAGCTTTTATGGACTGAACGCTGCTGTCAACATTGCCAATGCATCAACCGCATATCTGCGGAATGTCAATGTGACGGTTCATAACGGAGCTGCCAACGTTTATGTTTATGGAAACAACTCGTATGCCTTTATTTCAGATTCATCATTATACAGTTCGGGTCCGGTCTCTCATGGATTATACGCTGCCGGCTACGGTACTGTTGTTGGCAAGAATCTTCGCCATTATTCTGGAGCATATCGATCGTCCTCGTTCGCAGGTGACAGCCCTAAGGGATACGTCTATGTCTACGACTCGATTGCCCACACTGCAGGCATTGGAAGTGCGATCTTCTATGGGCAAGGTACAGTGTATGCAGAGAACATAGTTGGTCATGCACAGCAGGCTCCCATCGCCTTCCTGGATGGGTCGCAGATCGATATCCACGAATCCGACTTGACTGCGGGACTACTGGCGGGTGCTGTCATCTTCTCATCTGGGACTCGCCAGTCCGGGTCGGAGATCAGTTTCACCAATTCACGCCTCACTGTCCTTCCGGATGAGGCAGCCGGACTGTGGTTCGGCAATGTGATAGCGAGTGCCAGTCTAGTGCGCTCACAAATCAACACCAACTCCGGCATCTTGGTCATCGCAAACTACTCCCAAGTCACCCAGGACTTTGATCATTTTGCCGACTCTACTGCCGCTGCTGAAGCTACGATCACAGTCTCCGAGTCAACAATTTCTGGGGACTTGGTCGCGTACAACGGAAGCACGATCAGCTGGAGCTTGGGAAATTATTCAACATGGACGGGTAAAGCATATTCTGGCTATGGGAACGCATCGTTCTCGGTATCGCTTGACGCCAGCTCATCCTGGATACTGACGGGACATACTGTCGTGACAGAATTCACTGATGCCGATACCACTTTGAGCAATGTGCATAGCGCGGGATACAATCTCTACTATGACTCTGGCAGTGCCCACAATAGTTGGCTGAAGGGGACTACTAAGAAGATTAATGGTGGGGGCTACTTAAAGCCTGCGAGCAGGTCGCAACTAAGAGGGTCTCATTGATGCTCGTTTGACTCGCACACGGAATGGACTCGGACTGTGCATAGAACATCTTATGGCTTTTGCAGGACGATAACTTGGGAGGGCTCTGGGAAGCGAGTGAAGACCCACTACGGCAAAATAATCCTACTTGAGACAGTTCCGACATTTGTTATCTAACTGTTTACTCTCTAGTAATTTATGACCTATACGTGTCCCTTGAGACTGTATAGATCACCAAATGGGTTAAGTGATCTTGGAAATGATCTACCGATTTCCAGTACTTCTCTCAAGTTCAATACCTTGCTCCAGTATCCTACTTTTGTGGGCTATAGTATCTTACATTTAATAGAGTCGGTATCCCATATTTGGTGAACGACATTGACTCAAGTGAAATGATATACCCGCCTATATACAGCGGGTTATCTCTGCCGCGTGGGTGGCAGGCTGCCTATACTCTACTCGAATGTACCGTAGGTAGTTGGGAGTTCCTAGCTGGCAATTTGGGTGGGCGTAAACTTAACTCGTGTTAGCGGAAACAGTATCTCCTATCTCCTGGTATCCACCAATCCTGCTGCCCCGACAATTCAGGCATCTTCAGGTAGGAGGTTGGCAATAGGACACAGGGGTGTGGCTTTCAAAATGTTCTATAAATGCAATAGTGCAGCACAACTTGTCTCGAGAGAAGCTTAGCGCCCCCAGAGCCTCGCCCATGCCAAGATCCTTCGAAGCGCATAACGATCCTGAGCTATCCATTGCGATTCCACATAGGGCTGGAAGTTGAAAAAGGACGGCCATGCCAACGCATCCTTCGCAGAGAAAATGATACATTCCACGTACACATGTACATAGCTCGACTTGATACATAAACATATTGTTTCACATGTGGTCACTCCATAGATAACGGCAATACTGAACAGAAAGTCCATGGCACAGTAATTATGGACAGTTTCGCTTACGATCTGCCATCTCCATGATCAGACTTTCTCGACAAAGTCCTCACATCTCTTCTCAGTGTCGACATATCCACCGCTCTCAATCTCCATCTTTTGGATTTCGGCATTGAAGTGATCCATACGCTTGGCAAACTCCTTTTCCTCATCCCACACGAATGGGCTTTTGCTGGCGAAGAGGAAGTCGATCTGCTCGAGCGTACGGCCGGCAGTCTCGGGGAAGAAACAGTAGATGATGGGGATATATACGAGCATGGCGACCCCGAAGACGTAGAAGGTCTGAGAACAAGAAGTCAGAAATGAAATAGTGGAAAGGGAAGACAGAACTGACCTTCTCTTGGATACCGGCAAACATGACCGGGACGAGCAATGACCCAGCGCCGTAACCGACTGCCCAACCCGCAACACCAAAGGCGTTACCCTTGGCGCGCAGCCATGTCGGGAAAATCTCCGTCGGATAAATGAAAGGAATCATCAGCCAGGAGGAGCTGAAGACAACCACGTAGAGGAAGACCATGGCGGCAGCTCCAGTACCGTACTGTTTAGCCTTGTCGGGGTTGTTGACGGCTCCACGGTTCAGGCCACCACTGGCAGAGAGTTAGCACGAGCAACTTCGGGGGCGGGATGGGATTGTACTCACAGGGTGAAGAGAATAATACTCAAAACGACCGCCCCCCAGTAGAGGGTCCGGCGACGACCCACTCGGTCCAAGGTCAAAGCAGCGATACCGGTTCCCAGAATCCCGCAAGTCATGCATACGGCAGACAGCCAGTTGGACTTGAAATCATCAAAGCCAGCAGTGCGATAGATGTTTCCCGAGTAGATGACGACCGCTGCGATACCCGTGCCGTATTGCATCAGAACCTGGAGCCAGAACGCCAGCTGGATACGACGTCCAATGTGAATGTCTCCCGATCCAATGCCCAAGAACATCTTGATATAACTGGAGCTCTGCGACTCCTGTTCCATCTGCACGACGGCGACGATCTCGCGAATTTCTTGTTGCACGTTCGGGTCATCGCGGTCACCATCTCCACGGAGCTTGGTGATAATCTCGAATGCCTCCTCGGTGCGTCCGACCTTGACAAGCCACCGAGGCGACTCGGGAATGAGCAAGGTGCCGATGACGAGGAAGAAGATGGGAATGATTTGGCAAGCAAAGCAGAAGCGCCATCGAAAGGCGCCGCCGGCGTAGTCGGTGAAGGAGGTCGCGAAGCCAATCCAGGAAGACAAGGCAATGCCTCCAAAGTTGGCAAGGAAAGTAATGGCGATCATTTGACCTCGGTGGGCCGCGGGAGCCAGCTCTGCGGTCCACGAGGGAGCGATCACGATGATGAAAGAGACACCGACACCCGCGACAACACGGGCGCAGAGCATATGAGTGAGATTGACGGCAGTAGTCTGCAGGATAGCCCCGACAAGGCACCAGAGACAGGCCATCCAGATACCCTTGATACGTCCATAGGCGTCGGAGAAACTGCCCGCCCAGAACGCTCCGAAGAGAGCACCGAAGTAGTACATGGCAGCGATGCCACCCTGCAGAGAGGGCTTGATGACTTTTCCATGCTCATCGGCGAAGCCCATACGATGCTGCAGTTGTGAGATTCGATTAGTTTAAGATTCCCAGTCTAGGGAGAATGGCCCAGGGGGGGGGCACTGCGGTACGTACTCCATATTCGGGGGCGACATTGACAGCGCCCATGACACCCTGACTCATGCCCTCGTAGGAAATGGCGATGGCAGAGACTGCAGTAATCAACTTGAGCAGTCTAGGCCCAGAGAGCGTTTTCCAGTAACCTTTCTGGAACATGGTGAATGAACTTGAATGAGGAACAGAAAAAAAGTAGTCAAAAGGCAAACGTAGAAGGCAGATATAACGTGGAGACACCAAGACTCTGAGCGTCCACCCCAGATAATTGATGGAGAAAGGAATAGATCATCATCGTGTCAGGACGACATGGGGAGTTTTATAGATGATGAGCGGTTTCCTTCCATGGTATGAATGACGGGGTAGACAGAGGAATAGAAAGGAGGGGGGCAAACCCCGTGGGGAGAAGATCACGACAAGTTGGGGCTCTCAGAGTTTCGTGGGTCTCGGCCGTGGACGGGGGATCTCGCCAAACTCAAAAACCTCGGGGTCTCTTTCCTTCTTCGTTTCCATCTGCGCCACCCTTATATCCCCCGAGTTTTCTTCCCAGTTTCCAGTTTCCCGTTTCCCCATCTCTCCACTCCTCCTCCATCTTTTCCCCCCGTCAATTCTCGTCTCGATATTGCTTCTTCGAGACAGACGAACCCCGCCACTACGGCTCCACTTCTGCAGACCTCGCGGATCTCGACACAGCGTTCGACACTACTCTGGAAATGGGAAAGCTTCGCTCGAAAGCAGGATGGTGAGTGTTTCCCGCCACGATTTCCCTACCTTACACGAGCTGCGCACTTCGCCTGTCGATAATCGGAAGCAAAGGCGACTGGTCCGAATCGATATCTCATGTCTTGGAACGGGTGTGAGAAAGGTTTCCAAGCAGAAATATTGACCGAGTGACCACCGACGGAGAAGTGTTCGGCTCCGTTGTTGTCGTGCTTTATGCTAAGTTTCATCACAGCCTAACTTGCCGGCAGAGGCATGTCAAATGTATACCTTTGAACGGTTCCAGTAAGATGTTGAATACAACGGCTTACCCGAGAATAGGCGATCAAGTCAAGCCGATCTGTTCACAGTGCCAGAAAAAGAACCGGCCTTGTATTCGAGAAGATCCATCCAAGAGCATCAGGATCAAGCCTTATCAACCACGAAAGGCCGGGGGAGACCCCAAGGATGCTCTTAGCCATGACTCGGATGAAATATATCACCCCGCGGAGCACCGAGCCGCGGACACAGTGATTGCGAATCCAACCAGCCCTGAACATATACCTAATCCAAGTTATGCAGCATTCGGTACCAATGGCTCGGTGACATCGCCATACCTCCCACAAGGGTCTACTAACCTCCCAAAGCTCACCAATGATTCCGTTCCCGCCCCTCTGATGGCCTCTCCAGTCAACAATACCACTAACTCACCATACTTCAGCGTGGTCGGACTCCCGATCTCCCACCTGCTTCGACCGGACTCTTTAAGTCCATGGTCTGCGGCTTCGCCCGCAGGTGCGATACATGCAGGGTCTCCGCTGACCTACAGAGAAGCTTATCTTGTGCATCACTTTGCGACGCACCTTGGGTATTGGCTCGACTGCACCGACGCTTCTCGCCAGTTTACCCGGAAAATCCCCACCCTGGTTAAGCAATCACCGATCCTGCTGCATGCCGTTCTTTCCTATGCGGCCCGGCACGTCGGGGATGCCGAAATGGCCGAGCAAGCCCATGAGCGTTGCGTAGAATTATTGATCCCTTCCTTGAGCTCGGAAACCGTGACCGACGATGATATTCTCCTGTGTGCAATTGTCATCCTGCGGGTGTTTGAACAACTGAATGGTAAGCGAGAGAGTGTATGCAAACCGATGCCCAGGCTAACTTTCTTGGGGCTGAAACAGTCATGGTAACTGGAAGCGATCAGGAGCGTCATTTAGCCGGCTGCTCGGCTCTGCTCCGGGCGTCGCAAGGACGGGAGGTGGATCCCTCGACCCCGGGATTGCGGCAGGCAGCTTTCTGGGTGTACATGCGACAGTGCCTCTACAACGCATGTGTACATCAACAGGCTCCTAATGTGGACTTGAACTTGGTTCTCATCCCTCCCCCGGCTGGAGGGGACCCTCTGAGCGATCTGAGGTCCGAAACAGCCTGGGCCAACACTATGACGTGGATCTGTGCCACGGTGGTACACTTCTGCTTTGGATCGAGCTATCCTGAGCCCTCCTCCAGAATACGCCGATGGCAAGAGCTATCTGAGGCCGTGGAGAGTTGGTTAATCACCCGACCGGATACATTCGACCCAATCTGGTATAGCGAAGCTGTGAAAGAGAGTGGCAACCCATTCCCAGAGATATGGTTCACGGCGGACTGGCATAGTATGTCTGCAAAAGGTCTTCTGCCTTGGGCTGTCTAATATTGTTTGTAGTTATGGCATTCGGATTTTATCATCTCGCCCGTATGCTCTTGGCCATCTACAAGCCATCGCCTAAATTTGCAGTCCGGGGACTACATAGTCCAGCTCGTGAGTCTGATGTGAGTTCTGTTTTTTGGGCCCATGCGAATGGTTTGTGTTAACACCAGCAGGTCCGAGTCATGATGCACGCTCGTGCAATCTGTGGGGCATGCAACAGTTCCCCTTCGACTGTGCCATCGTTGATCACGCTCTGTCATTCCACCTTTATTTGTAAGACATGTCCAGGGTTCGTGTGGGATGTCGTTACTGACATGGACAGGGGGTCCTTTGATGACAGATTCGGCAGAAAGGGCTGGAGTAATTAGACTACTACGAGATATGGAAGCGACGCATGCATGGCCGACGACTTGGATAATCAATTCTCTAAAAGAAGAATGGACGATGACTTAGCCCGTTCCACAACGCCCACATCAAAAAAGAACGCCCAGATCAAAAGTAAAGGGCATTTATCTATGCGACAAAGGAAATCACAGACCCTCATTAAACGATACCACGGCATACTTTCCGTTCTGGATCCAAGCACCACCGGGCGCCTTCTCATTTAATTCATCCACCTTGCTCTGGGTTGGGACGCCAACGCAAACGTCGGACTTGTTCGTGCGAAGGGACAAGATTTTGACGCCGCTCTGCTTGCCTAGGGGACCCAAAGCCTCCTCGTATGTGGTGGTGTGAGGCCACAGCCCATCTCTGGTCAGTTTGCGGTAGTTGAGGTCGCCCTTAAAGATGACCAGGTAGCTGTTCTGGAGCTCCTTGAAGAGTGCCGGTGCCTTAACCGGCATCTCGTGGAATGAGTATGGCGTTGTCCAGAAGGAGTCGCTCGTGGTCGTGATGGCTCCCGACTGGAAGAACTTGCGGAGTCTCGGGATGAGTTGGTCGATATACTCGCGACTTGGGAAACATTCGGAAGAATCGAGATGCTCGAACAGCGATTCGACATCTTCGGATATGACATCACTGACGAACCATGGGAACTCCTTGGTGTGCAGTCTGACAGAGGTAGCAATGCCGGCGTCCAAGAGATAAGCGGCATAGAGCAGATCAGTGAAGAACTCGAAACCAGCGTTGTCCAGGACAATATCAATTTGGCGACTAGCCTGACCGGAAGTGCGCTGAAGATAGGCCCAGACGTCGTCAGTGTCGTTGTCAACAATATTCTGCTGGCTCTTCTGGATGGCCTCGCGGCCCTGTAGATTTTGCAAATCCTCCAGGGTCAGGTTAGCGAGGAGTGACAGGTCTGTGGCGTTTCCCCACAGGGCAATCTCGGTCATCTCGATGAAAAGCAATTTTTTGGCCTCCTCCTTGCTCTCGTCTTGGGCCAGTTGAGTATTGGCAACGATCTGCATATAACGGCTAGTGAGCTCCTCGACTGCGGCCCTCGACTTGACAAAGGTAGAGTCTTTCTGGCGTTTGAAAATATCATAATTCTGCCAGTGTTTCGAGGAGTTCAGGATCCTCTGGATGCTTCTGGAGGGACCATCAGCGCAATTCCTCGTTCCGATCTTGACAGCAACATTCGTACCTGTACATGTAGCACTCTCCAAAGAGCCAAGGGCAGTGTTTCCAGCTGCAATTGCCAATTGCAGCCAGCTGCTTGTTCCACTCTTGAATGTCGAGCTTGCCGTCGTCTTGCAGGGGCCTGAAGCGCGGTGAGTTTCTGCATTTTCAATATTGGGAGAAGAAGTACCTACGTCAGGGGCTTGTTCTGTTCTATTCCTTTCTTAATGCCCTTCAGGGCAATCTGAATGGCAATACTCTCCGCCCTCTTCTGGCTGTCAACATCCTCCGCGGCGGCTGTTTCGCCAACGTCGTCGATGGTACCCTGAATTATTTTGGCCCAACGGGTTTCGGCCGTCTGGTTGGCCATTGACCCCTTTTCGGACGTCCACACTGCACGAACTTCTTGAGCGGTCATGGTGGCGGAAGGCATGGCGATGTGACTTTGACAGATCCAACTACTACACAGGGTCAGGGACTTGAAAGCTATACGGAAGCATTGACTGCAGATCCGGGGGACTCTTTATGTACTCTTCTTCAAAAACAAATTGCAAGGATCGCCCCCACCTGGTCACCATAAAAAGTAGGAGAGCTCGAGATCTGCTGACCACCATCTATGGACCCCCCTCGAGGCGAAAATGGAAGGCGAGACCTCTCGGCTGCCTCCTCGGATGTATGGAAGTTGGTCGCGTAAACGGCCCGCGACCGCTTGAATGGCTCTTTAAGCTTTTGCAATCCCGGGGTTGAGGCGGTCCGTGCACACCTCGTCTCGAAGATACCCAATTAGGCAATTCTGGCCCCGTTGACGGCCTCGGGATCGGGATGGAGCTCGCAAAATGCATCCCGAAGTACCTCTTCCGACCATCTTCTCGGGCACATCACTGTGCGCTTTTGGATACTTGCGGGGTAGTGGGGTATTTTTGGTTGTCCAGCAGGAAGGGGGGCTAAATTTCACAGGGTATATGAAGCGGTTCCTCGCTCCTCTGGATTACTGTTGGAAATCAAAACCATTGAGCTTCAAGCTTGTTTATACACATTACCGAAATGGTCACTTCAGTTGGATATTCCGAGCCCAATGGCTCTGCTCATGCCAGTGGCCCTCGGCGTTGTCCCGCAGATGGCACCCTCGACATTACAGTCTTGGGAATGAACAGCGGTACGGCCATGGACGGCATTGACTGCGCCCTTGTTCGTTATCGACAGGCTTCTCCCGAAGCTCCTTTGCACATGGAGATCCTCAAGGTACGATAGCTCCGTAGTAGTCATTTACGATTCGACTTCGGCAGAACTGACCAATCGCCCTTTTACAGTACGATGAAATTCCCATCCCTCAGTACATCAAGGGGCCCGTCCTCGCCATGCTCCGCGAAACAAAGACCACTCCTTCTCTCATGTCCCAGCTGAATGTCCAGCTCGGTAACATGTTCGGCAAGACTGTGAAGCTCTTCTGTGAGAAGCACAACGTTCCGATTGACAGCATCGACCTCATCGGCTCCCATGGTCAGACTATCTGGCTTCTCTCTATGCCCGAGAAGGGCGAGACGCGTTCCGCCTTCTGCCTTGGCGAGGGAACCGTCATGAGCGGCTTGACCGGTATCACTACAGTCACCGACTTCCGCATGGCTGAACAGGCGGTCGGCCGCCAGGGTGCACCTCTTGTTGCGTTGATCGATGGTCTCCTTCTTCATCACCCCACCGAATGGCGCATCTGCCAGAATATCGGCGGAATCGCTAACCTCTGTGTTATTCCACCCGATAACGAGGGTGGCGTCGACGCCATGGTCGACTGGGACTGCGGCCCGGGCAACATGTTCATCGACGCCGCCATGCGCTTTTTCACCAATGGCGAGATGGAGTATGACCGCGATGGCGAGTGGGGTGCTCAGGGTACGGTCAACCAGGCAGTCGTCGACAAGTTCCTCGACAACAACAAGTACTGCAACCACCTGCCTCCCAAGACGACAGGTCGGGAGACCTTTGGTGACAACGAGGCCCAGGCGATCATTGACGAGTGCTTGGCTCTGGGCATGAGCAAGTACGACACCGTCGCCACCATCACCCGCATCACTGCCCAGAACATCGTCAAGCAGTACCGCACTTTCTTCCCCAACTTCAACATCGACATCGACAAGATAGCCGGTGTCTACATGTGCGGTGGTGGCGCCCACAACCCCAACATCATCAACTATCTGAAGGAGCAGTTGCCCAACTTGGAAATTCTCAAGCTCGACGCGACCGGTGTTCCTTCTGATGCGAAGGAGGCGGTCTCGTTCGCTCAGCAGGCTCTGGAGGCCATCCTCGGCCGTGCCGCTCTCGTTCCCATTAACAGTGACACATTGACACCCAACACCATCTCTGGTAAGATAGCGCCGGGATTGCGGTGGAGAGAGGTTATGGCGATGGCGTTGGAATTCGGAAAGGGCCAAGCTCGGTTGCCGACGGTCAAGGAGATGGTTATTGACCGGCCCTACACCTACGGGAAGGCTTAAAAAGGGGCATGGCGGTGCATTTATCTATTTGTATGATTAACTATTTGCATGTTTATGATTTAGCAATGGCTTCGTTACAATTTAGCATTTTCAACACTTTCGAAATGTCTTTTTAGTTCAATCTCCTCACGGCGCCGTCGAGTGAAGATGCAGTGTACCACCCTTGAGTCGGCGATGGACGGTGTTTCGCCTCAGGACTGTGAAAAACAAAAGGGACCTGCGCTGCCCAATTCATGAATTAGCCTCAATCGATGCAGGTCTTACCCTTATCCATGGCTTATCTCGACATTTTATTGTAGCTTATCAGGACTCATCGTGAGCGTTCCCGCAGCAGACCATTACGCGCATCGTCGTGTCGCACACGCGTAAACGCGCCGACGTCTCACACGGTTTCTTTTGGAACAAACACCGGAAATAAGGGACTGAAACACAGGGGGAGTCTCGGCGATGACCGTCGCGGGGTTGAGCGCTCTCAGCACACTATTTATCTTTTCGTCCGGTTAGGATCAAGAAACATTCTTGAGCTCAGGATCGGATTCAAACCCACTTTGTGCCTTTTTATGAAGACATTTCAGTTCCACAAATGGTACACTAGAACGAAACACCAAGGCTTTGATATCTATTCCCGTGTTTATTGGTGCAATGTTGGAATCGGATTTTGGTAGCAGGGAACGGGGAAAAGGAGACGGAATACGCACAAAGCAGCCTCGACACGAACCACCAGTTTACCCAAAATAGCAATGGGTGGGAATTCCCCACGTCTGGTAGCTGGGTAAGCCCCGTGGGTATTTTTATTCGCGTTATATCAATATTAGAATCTCGGAACCGAGCATCCGGCCACGCTTACCATCATGGTCAAATCTGCGTTACGCTGGAAATCTTCAGACCACGACGCGGAAGCCATCAACTTACTATGGAAGTGCATAGCTGAACCGGAACAGAAACTAGGGGTAAATCATCAGAGGACGGTATATAGCTCTGATGTATTGCCAGAATGGGAAACGGGGGCGCTAGATGTCGTTGCCTAGGAAGAAAAATGTTTGAAAAACATGTTCAGATGCCAACCTCTATTTCATCTACCATTTTTCAGGATTAATCTATCAGCGCCCTCTAATATACTCTGGAGGGAAAGAATGGGGAGCGCCAAACGTTGCCAGTTGAAATCCGGTATATGTATATGTGTGAGGGCCTTCGGGTTGTTGGAAAGAGATAATTGAATAGTTATAGACCAGACATGGATCGTCGTCTTACAAAAGCACAATCGAAGGCTTCAAGATGAGAAAACGAAGTTTCACTGGTATCAAGAGTTTGACTAGAATTAAAATCATACTGCAAGTGATGCTCAAGGAGCAATTCCAAGCCATACACAAGATGTGCAGTCGATCCACTGCACCATTAGGCGAAAAAGGCCGTAGTCAAGCGACCAAGGTATGAGTAAAGGTATCACAGAAGGTCCAAAGTCCAGAGAAGTGGTCTCTGGCCGAGGAGAAACGCGGACCCGGCGAGAGTTTCAGGGACGAGCATGGGGTCTTACTCCGCATGGGTTGCGGCACCGACTTCCTTCTCGGGGGCCCGAGTGCCAGCCTCGGCCTGCAGATCGGCCAACTTCTCAGATTGGAGGGCACCACTCTCGAGCTGGCGGACATGCCGGTACTGGACCTTGGTCTTCCACGGCTTCATTCCGGGGGTGTTGAACATGGTCTCGACGTCCTCCAGGGTCTTGCCAGCGGTCTCGGGGAAGGCAAAGAAAACGTGAACGGTCATGGCAAAGCAGAACACTCCAAAGACCAAGTAGGTCTTCCACTTGATGTTCTCAAACGCCGGAGGGACGAAGTAGGACAGAGCGAAATTGAAAATCCAGTTGGATGCGGTCGAGACGGCCACGGCCTTGCCACGCAGACGCAGTGGGTATAGCTCCGGGGGGTAGATCCAGCTGACCGGTCCCCAGGTCGGGGCAAAGCTCGCCACGAAGAGATAGGTACACGCGATGACGCCCTTGGCCGCGGAGGGTGCATCACTCAGATCCCACGATTGCTCGGGGGTGTGGTTGAGACCACCCGGGGGCGCGGGCTTTCCGTAACTCGCCATGATGCCACCGTTGGCGAACATGAAGGTCATCATCAACGTTGAGCCCACCAGCAAGGGAGTGCGTCGTCCCCAGCGGTCAATGAACAGCAGAGCAAAGATGGTCATCACGACGTTGATGACATACTGAATGGACGAGGCCACCAGGTTGGCGTTGCCCGAGAGACCGGCCATCCCAAAGACGTAGGTGATGTAAAGCATCATCACGTTCATACCGGTCAGCTGCGACCAGATCTGGGTGAACATACCGATGTGGGTCCGATAGATCATGTTGCCCTTGAAGAGATCCAAGTAGGAGGCATCCGCATTCGCCCGCTCAAACTCGACCATGTCCCGAATCTCCTGCAACTCGGTCTGCACGAAGGGAGCATGCTTGTCTCCCTTGGCGTGGACCAAGGCCAACACCTCATGAGCCTCCTCCCAGCGATCGTGCTTGGCCAACCAACGAGGGCTTTCGGGGAGGAGGAAGACCATGCCGAATAAGAATGCGGCGGGAATCATCTGCAGTCCCCACGGGAGACGCCAGGCCGCGTTACCGGCGAGGAAGCTACTACCGTATGAAATGTAAAACATGATTAAGATGCCCCAGGTAATGGCCCATTGTTGGGCACCGACGACCTGGCCACGTCGACTGGGCTGTGCCAGCTCGGCAACGTAGACGGGGACCTGTGCACTGAGAATGCCGACAGACAGACCGTTGATGAAACGGCCCACGACGAGCTGAGCGATGCCAAAGGAGGAACACACGATGGCACTCCCGATGCACCAGATGACGGAGCCTGTCTGAATTGCCATTCGACGGCCGAGCCAATCGGTCACGATTCCGGAGATGAGGGCGCCCACGAAGGAGCCTCCGGGCATGGCAGCCGAGATGCCACCCTGGGTGGAGGAGGTGGGACCACCGCAGGAACCATCGTCGCCATGTCCCGTTTGGTTGAAGAAACATTTGTATTGTTGAGTACCCAGACTATAGGAGAACGGGGCGGTCAGTCAGTAACTTTGTGCGACTCGTTGAGGCCTGCGTCACGCACCAGGGGTGTAAACTTGGGAACGAAGCAACTCACATGGCAGACATGGAAGCAATATCAAAACCAAACAGTGCACCGCCAATGACGGCCACCGTGGTGATGACATAGATATTCCCGATCACGTAGCCCATGATGGACCGAGTGAGGTGGGGGAAGGTTACACAAAAAAGGTGGAGGATGTAAGCACAGCAAGCCCTGAAAGTCCAAGGGGGCGGGGAGTGGTGGTTCAGGAAGGAAGGAAGGAAGGAAGGAAGGAAGGAAGATGAAGGAATGAGCAGGGGAGGGAGAGAAAAACAATTATATAGTCTCGTTGTCGGTGGTCCAGTCGGTTCAGTTGCGAACCCGAATTGGAGGGGGATCGGCTGTCGGCAAGCGTCTTATTTGATGATGATGTGCTGAAAGACTAAAAAAAAAGAAACTCAAAAAAACAAGGATTCAAACAATCCAGGTCAAGTATTGAATTAGGCCCATAGTACATAGTAGCTCTCTCTCTCTCTGGTCGAATCAGAAAGCAGAGTTTCGTACGGCGTCCCGTACGCCGTATGCGGTCATTACGAGGTGACGGGACTATATACGGCGTCCAGGACGGACCTCCTCCCATACAGCGCCCTATCGGGATAGTGCTCGGGCAGCTTGGTTTCTGTATCATGGAGAATACGTCGGACGTGGTCGATGGGGGTCGCTCGGGTCAGGACTCAGGCCGTTTGCGGAGATGCGGGGAAGAGACCATGTGTCGAGAGGGTCGAAGGGTCATTGTCAACACGATGGAGTGATCATCCACCAACCATCACGATCATGACTGGTCAGGCCAATGAGGCGTCAGCATAGCAGACGGATCACTTAGTGACTCTGACACGTAGAAGCATTCATAGAAGGACCCTCTACTCCATCACATAATCTACAAATTTGTCCGATCATAGAAAAACTTCACCAGCCCTCTCCGTATATCCCCCGTACTGAATACGGAAATATCGTCCAGAGTCATCATACCGGCTCCTTTTCAGCGATTCATGAGGGATCACATCCCCTTTCCCGAACCGCCGATGATCTGCAGGGAAAGGACTCCCGCTGGACGCTCAGAAGCTCAAGCGCCTTGGTCAACTGCACGAGGCCTCCAATCAACCAGCCGCGTCGGCGCCTCGTTCAGCCCGTCTCAAGAGGCCCAACCGTCAGGGTCATCAAGACTATCTGGGAATCCCACTCCACTCGCTGAAGGATCGTGAATGCAACTTCGAGGGTCGTCCGGCACGCCACATGGTGTCATCGCGTCGGCCAATCACTGCCGAATGGCCCGATGAATTCACCGCGGAGAGACTCGAGTTGTATTCTAGAAAGGTCTCTCGACAGGACCGAGGGTTTTCCTGATTCTCATTAAACTTGGATGGCGCAGAATGGCGTCGAAGATGGCATGACAAGGGGGCTGGCTGGGCTGAGCTAGCCAGCTAGGGCGGGAAAGTGGCTGAACTGGGCCTTTTGCTTGCCATGGGCTTTCGATGAAGCCGTAGGGAGGACGCAGTACTACTTCCCTCGAGAACCTCAAGAAGGGCCAACTCTCCCGCTGATTGCAAGGTGATGGCTGCGACGGGACTACCAACCAGCCCCTTTGATCTGCAATCCCTTTTGGACCTCCCCCTTCGGTCGACCCCTCGCCAACACGGACAAAACTCAAAAGAACTAGCCGGCATCCGATCCATCACCATGATTGGCCTTGTGTCCAGGCATGCCATCCCCGCTTTCCCTTTCTCCACGAACTTTGCGGACGCCACCGTCGTCGAAACCCCAGAAGAGCGGGGCAGGAGTTGACTGACGTTAAGCCTGTCAGCCTACCGAGAGTCCGAGATGCCTTTCCCTGGTTGAAATGGCTTCCTACGAATCCGTTGCGACTCGCCGACCTATGAACCCTCAATTTCCCCCGCGAATGGCCCCCACGGACCATCGTTTAGCAGCCAACTCGTCAATGATGGAGCCCGACTGACTACGACCGTAGCATTTCCATTTCCCTGTCACGACTCACCCGCTCGGCCCTGTCACCTATTGTGGTGGAAAGACCGACTCTTGATCGGTATACGATCTCCACCATCGGCCACCTTGGCCAGCCGTCATAAAACCCCTTTGAAACGGTCGCGCATGAGCGACCGGTCGGGATGTCCGTCCCTGCCCTATCGGACGTAGCACGACTCTCGTTACGCAACGCGAACGGCGCAAATTCCACATATCCGACAACAACGCGTCCATAACTTCCGCGGTGACCGTCGAGGGTTCTTTGAGAAATCCGAGTAGTGTCTAGGCTCATCAAATAGCATCGACAAGTCTACCTTCGGCCTCAACTATCAGGGTCCCACTCTCCGACGCCATACCCGAGTGGAACACCCTCACGGGCAATAGAGGCGCCATGGAGCGCCCGGCGGGTGGCTCGGGTGCGGCTGACCCAAGATCTCCCATCGGGACCGCCAACGAACGCCACGAGAAAGCTTCCCTCTGTCCACCTCGTATTGAGCTTCCAGCTTTGGTTTCATTTTTCATTTTTTTTTTTTTTTTTCATTCCTTCGTTGTGTCTAGGCTTCGAGTTTGGAATGACTCGGTTGTTTGCTTTCTCTTCTTTTTGTCCATGGGAAGCTCGCATTTCCAATTGGGCAATGCAACCCCATCGAAGTCTGATCGTGATTGGTAGACAGATATCCCATTGATTAGAAAGAGAACGGGCCAGTCTACATACAAGAAAGAGTGTTAGGTATTGCTAGCAGTGAAATAGTGCGATAGCCTCTTCCGTCGACCATCCCAGTCTAACCGTAACTGCTACATGGATAAACGTAGTGAATAGTATCCAGACAGCCATCAAATTACTCCTGCACCCGGATGCAGGACCCATGGCGCGGTCTGCAGGTAAGCGCGACTAAGGCGAACCCCCTTAGAGGCCGATACTCATTAGCTAAATCCCGAGATCGAAGAAAAGATGCTTAATCTCCTCCGGTCTGGAAGTTTGCGGGACAAATGAATGAAACGGGAATCGCTTATTTCGAGTTGGAATATTTGGGCCGGCGCTTAGCACGCGATAAGTGCAAGACATGAACTAGACACGTGGACACACCTTTCCGTCCCAAGTTTATCTGCCGATGAAGACTAGTCTTGCTGCTCGTTTCCATCAGTCTCCAATTCCTCTATGTACGACCTCGCAAAAATTAGCCAGTACGAGACTCGTCAGAGAGAGCGTGGGAAATGCCCCAATGACCACTCATTCATTCATAAGCGTGTACGCGAACAGCTTTATATCCGCTGCCATAGAATTATTTCCAGTCGGTATCGATCTGTCGTTGTTGAATGTAAAGACGCAGTAGCTAATTATTTCTCATTCTCCGACAGTACTAGTGATCATGCAACCCATATCTGTCCGAGGAGGGAGAGGTTTCATGTGTCCAATTCGAGTTCTAGTTCTCTAGCACCGAAGAACTCACACCGAAGACCTCTTTAGCGGATGTCCAATCTGAGATGATGATAGACTCATGGCACGGACATTCTCACCTTCACAGTAAATGCTGTGGAAACTGGGTACTCCCTGGGCTTGTTGTATTGCCATGAATTGAAAAGCATCCACAATAACGGCAAAAGACCTCGTGCGAAGAACCTCCTACTTGAGCAGAGTATCTTTAATAGTGATGGACAGAGCAGATTATAAAGTAAGCTCTGTCAACAAAGTAGAATCCGCAGCGGGCCATCCGACCCTCTTTGGAAGATCAGACCACCGCCCTCGGCGCCAAGCCCTAGCGGGTCCGTGGCCCCCAATTTCTTTCCTGGCCAACTGCTTGGCTCCAACGAGTTTCTTCCCCAGAACACCCATCCGGCAGAGCAGCCCACGATCATGTGGCTGTGTTGGCTCTGCCTTCGGCTGAAATGCATCTTCTCAGAAACATCAATGGTGTTATCACCCCTGCCACTAACACTCACCAAGACCACCTGACATCGCTTCTCAAATCTCAGACACCGTGGGCCACCACCTAATGCACCACATTTGCAATTCCAGCTGGCACGCACGCGCAGCGAATATCCCCAAAGAAACCATGGACCCGTCACCACCCCCCTATACTGAATATGTTCAAAACGACCAGAGCCGCGAAGAGCAAGTCCCCCAATACGAAGCGCCTACGTACAACCCATCCTCCCAGGATTCCAAGACTCTCCAAAATGCAATGGCCAAGTTTCCACCCACAATGAACGGCTATTTTCAATGGAAAATGACGTCCACTTTCCATCTGGGCCCGACCGCCGAACAGAAACTGTTCGCAGTGACTATCCACAGTTCCGTGTTTGGGAACAAGCCATCACTGATCTTGTATGACGGCCCGACCAAGGAGGATCCCGTTATGGCAACGCTCAAGTCCGATAAATGGGGTCGGGCTAGACCCGTTGACATCGCGCTTCCTCCCCGCCCAGGCGGCCATCACACGGACGCGATCGATGTGCAGTTAGTACCCGTATCCACGAAACACGTTTCTCCGACGTACACCTTCGAGATCCAAGGGACGGGGAAGGGAACTGGGCGAGACCGATTCGAATGGCGGAAAACCCAAGGAAATGAGATCAAAGAGCTTGCTACGGGTCATTCTTACGGTTGGAAGCTGGTGTGGCTATCCGGGCCCGTCAACAGTGCCGGAGGCAGCAGGAAGGAGCGAGAAATGGGCGTTGCCAGCGATGGAACGGAAATCGTCGCACTTCTCGCTCACAATGCATCATGGAGTATGACGAAGGGATTCCGGTTTGCCTTTATGGGTACTGGACTCACGGGCACTTTCGGCGAAGTTTGGGAGATTCTGACCGTCACGTCGGCCTTGCATCTTTGGTATTTGGACTTTCAAGGTGCAACGGCTGCCGCTGCCGCTGCCACTTCTTGAGTTCTTGATTGAGGAGTTGCATTTGGGCCTTCGAGCGTGGATGATCGTCCTTAATTTCTATTCTGTATAAATAATTCACCGGGCTGCCCGAACTGGACCACAGAATCACAGTGGTTTAACCGTGATAGACTTCGAGTGCTGATGGCTGAGTCGAAAGACCGCAGCAATTTAACAGATCTTCTACTATCAAAACGCCCAATCAGTTGTGACGTTTCGCAAAATATGGTGAGCGGTGACTTGGTAATCAGCCGAGCAAATTACCGCCCGGACACAAACTCTGAATGTTCACCTACAAAGAAGTTGGTGAGGATGGGCCAAAAATAGATTTTCGATCAAAGATGAGCATTCTGGAAAAGCATAGCCAAACATGGCATCAAATTGCGATCTTAAAGTTTCCTTTGACATTTAAGAATGGTACAAGTAGATTCACAAGTTGATGAGACTAACTTTCTCTCCGTTTTATACGAGCTGATCTACACGATCGACAGGAGAAAAGATAACAATAGATACGAACATCCGTCCTTCCACGCCGTTTCATTGGATCGATCTTGGGGCCAATTGTAGTCATCTCTGGAGCCCTTGGCCCTTTCGATACCCGGATAAGTCGACCGGGATATTCAAGTTTACTGACAAAAGGTACAAATAAAAATAACTCGTCAGCGATTTGGCCGTTGATTTCTCTGGGCCAGCAAATTATACAGCTCTACAGAGAGGAATCTCCAAGTACGCATGCTCGTAATTCTGCTCTAGATACCAGGCCTAGATTGAATTCTTCGAGACCATTACATGTCAAAGCTGCGAGGGAATCGTCCCCTAATTCAGGGTCCAGGAACACGAGGTGGAGAGAGGGCGGGCGTTGACAGCCACTTCGAGGCTCGTGCGACGCGGGAGAACACGATGGAGTCCACTTGGATCTTCACTTTCAGGGCTGCCAAAACCTTTACAAGACGTGCGGCTTGCGTTGTCCTGTGATTCTAAGAGTACTTCGTATATAATGAAAATGTTCTCCCAACACCTTTCCTCGATGCATAGTCTCTCATTAATCAAGTCGCTCATTTTTTTAATCAACTTTGGCCTGTCTAAAAAGGTGCCTGCACCAAGGAAACATGGTTTACAAAGCACTCTCTTGGTTTATCCCTGGCCTTTTGTTGTCCCCATTCTGTCAAATCGCTCTATCATTCGAGCTACAGCCGATAGTCTCAAATTCGGTCGCAACTGGCCGACATGCCACCAGAGATGATGACTTTTCCGTTCTTGATCTTCTCAGCAGCGAGACCTTTCTCTGGGGAGGTATGTGCCGCCGTCGCATCTTGGCTTCCATAAACAAAAATCTTGCTAAAAATGTATTCGCACAGGATCCCATAATGGCCGATCCGCGCTGGGCAACCTGACAGTTCACATGCCCGGAGATGCAGAAAACATCATCTCCATGGAGAAGTTTCAACCCTTGCTACGGTCCGCTGAGTGTACTAATACCAGTATGACCATGGATTTCAAGGATGAGAGATCTTATCAGTATGGTCAGCGCCTCTGGCAATGGGTCAACGATGCCGACGAACGTAAATTTGTCTTGGTTGCTGGAAATGGACATTGCGGCTGGAATCAACATCGTTTGCCCTTTGTGGTTGCGAACGTGCTATTCAACGATGCACAGAATACGATTGGTCTCACGGGCTATGTATCCGACTGGAAGACTGTCGCACATACATATGAACTATTCGTTGGTGGCCACCCTTCGTCCGAGAAGCGCGATATCGATCACACCTTCTCTCTTGATTTCAACCACGCCTTGCCCCTGAGCAGCAAGTCTTTCTCGATGGGTGATTTTAAGTTCACCTATGACTGTGATGACTGTGGCACTAAGGGCGAGTTTGCATTTCAGTTTGAGCTCAAGACGGAGATATTCGTTCCCACCGGAGTGTCTATGACCCTGAGCCCCCAGGGAGTCTCTGCCAACTTCAATCCTCGTTTGGGACTGAGTGCCAATTTCACTGGTACCAAGACTGACGAAATGGAGTTGGGCAAGATTCCCATCGACGGACTGACCATTCCTGGTGGAATCTTGGATCTAGGGCCCGAAATTGTCTTTAGCTGGGGCTATGCACTGGGTCCGATCATTGGTACTGCGGGCGTGTCAACGGGCGTATCTATTGGCCTCGAGGACTCGGCGGAATTGAAAATCGATTTGACCTCTCCCGATGTTTCCGCCAGTGGATGGACTCCTAAAATTACTAAGAAGCCGATCACCGTGGACGCTTCCATCAGTGGTGGTATCAAGGTTAATGCTAAGGCTGCCATTGAACTAGCATTGGAAGCTTTGGGTGAGTAGCTACCACTGGCCTCAGGAATTCACTCTATTTGCATGGAAAATGCTAACATTCGAATAGATACTGGATTTGAGATTGGCCTAGATCTAGAGCCCTGGGCTGGAGCAACTCTGACTGTGGCATCTTGTAAGTCAACATCTCCATTCACTGATCTATGACGCAGGGTCGATTGCAAGAGCTTTTCTGGCTAATGTATTATCCTGGACGACAGCATCCGGTGCAGCGTGCCCTGATGACCCCGAAAGGCATCATTTTGGCGTAAAGGTCGCGCCGTCCGCCGGAGTGAATCTGAATGTCGAAGCTTCCCAAGCAGGCGATGAGAACGAGCCATTTTTGAGCAAAGCTATCGCTGTACGTCTATACCCCAGTTTTTCCAATTAAAGGTGCAACCCACAAGCATAAATCACTAATACTGTCATCTTACAGTCTGTCACCATGCCTCTTCCTCCCATGTGTACTGGCTTTGGGTCACCTCCAAACGCATCTGGCTCCCCGAGAAAAACGACGACCAAGGCAACGTCCACACCTCTGTCGCGATCCTCTACTACTTATTTATCTACTACCACCCCGTCCATTGTTGCGCCCACTACAATGACCACTGCCACTACTACCTATTCCTTTTCTTCATCAAGCTCGATTCCATCTATCCCGGCACCGAGACCATACCCATATATCCGCAGAAAACGCTACGTTGGGCGATCAGAAAGAGATCTTCACGCCTGAGTTTATTATTGAGCAGCGAAAAGTGGCCCTCGTGTGCGCTTGGCTCCCATGTAGCCGATTCATTGAATCTGGGCCATCATATTTAGGAAGTTTTCTTTCCATCGAGATACCACAATAAATAGTGTTCCTTTTTTTCATCCATGCATTCTCTCCCCATTTTATTCAGCAGCGGCATGTCGGTTTAACTCGAAACCAGGAGTATGCAAGCCCATGCCCCGCCTTCATTTGCAGTGCCATTATACTCGTTGTGGAGGTTCCCGGGTGCAAAACTACGTCTTAAATGGTCGGAATGATAATGAAAGGACCAAGAGGACCCTGTGTTTTTCAAGGCATTATGGGTCATAGCATGTTGATACTCAATGAGTGTGGGAAAACTTGCTTTGGGCTACAGGAAAAGGTCTAGATAGACAGGTTCTTCTCTCCGTAGTCATTGCGACCGAATAATCTTCTGCCTCGAACGCGAATTGCGAATCTAGCTATGGAAAATATCTTTTAGGAATAGATTATGTCTTACCTATCTATGCCCGAAGACAACTAGTGACCTTATGGTCGGCCTTCACTCGGGACCACTTCTCGGCAGACTTGACTATTTCGGCCGCCAAGGCGAGTCGACGGGCGCTTGCAGGAGTAGAGGGCGATCATGACGAAGGTGGAAGGACACGCGGAGCATAAAAGCAAACGAGGATGTGATTGATTCTCCTGTCGAACAGCAAGTATACAGGATTTCCGAGTTACACTCAGATGAAGGACCTCGGTGATGGGAATGAGACTAGAGATTCCGTAGACACACGGGCCGTGACCCTCACATACTAGTACATGCTGACAAGTTTAATTTCAATCGCCGTCTTCAGTCCAGGGTTGATTGAAGAAGGAAAAGCCCACTGTCTCTACTTTCATCTCGAATTATCCGTAGTCCACTGGGACTAAAAAATCATGTTGATGGCCATCGCAACGTATATACTTTCGTGACATTTGCGCAGCGGCGAATTTGATGACAGCATGGTGGAGTCGAAAAGAAATTTCATCCACCGAAGGCTCCGCCGCCGACGATTCCAACGCCCCGTGGTGTTCGTGTCCCGAAAAGGCCCCTTTCTACATCCACACGGGTTACTATGACCCAATGCAATCGTAGGATGGAAGGAAGTGGATCAAGCCAGTACAGAGTGGCTTTCTTTTAAGGCACTCTTTCGTGTCTTTGCATAGATTTGAACCACTCAAACAATCCTTTGTCCCCCCACTCGAAAAGCCGCTTATCAGTGGATGCTTCACACTTTAACTTTTTGTCTTTCGCGAAATAAATCATCTTTCCCTCTCCCAAATCACCCTCATATCACCGGCGCAATGCGATCGGTCTGTTGAAACGTTGACCGTTCTTGAATACCATGAAAAAGCAGTGGAAGAATCCACAGACATGACTTCCGAGTCCAGTGTGTATCCTTCCGTTATGGCCTATTCGCTCCATCTACCCAACGATGTGCTGCTGTTAATTGGTGACCAACTGGAAAGCCATGCAGACCGATGGAACTTGACATTCGTTTCCCGGCACTTCCATGACCTCTTCGTCTCCCTTCTCTACCGGGGGGTACGGCTAAACAGTTGGCGCCATGCTTACTCGTTCCTTTGCGCCATCACTCAACGCCCGCCATTGACACGAGCAGTACGCGAGCTTGACCTGAGTGGCTGGCAGAGGGAGCTGATCCTCCAAGAGGATTGGCATTCACTGCAAAGCTCCCCGATATTGAAGGACTGTGTCGAAGCTTCCTCATTTTCACCTGACGAAACGGCGCAATGGAACGAGCATCTTGCAGCAGGTCGTGGCGACGCGTGGGTTGCACTGATGCTGCCATTGTTAAGCCAGCTTCGGCAGCTTCATCTCGTTTATTGCACTCATACCATATGCTTGAATCGCATCATGCAGAGGGCAATTGATCGAGAGGGACCGTTCAAGTCGCAGTCCGTTTTTCACCACTTGCGCAAAGTCACTTTACATCATCAGGAGGACGTCGACCATCCCGCAGCCCAGGAGGATGTGGGAAACCACTCGTCTCACTCTCCATCGGCTCTGCTATTATCATTCTTCCGATTACCTTCGATGCGCTCACTGGTTGCCAACTCGGTGGTGGATCCAACCTCAGATGATTTGGACTTCAATGCAGACGGAACTGAGCACTCGCATTCGGGACTTTCCTCGATCACCGAAATCGACCTGCACCACAGTAGTGGTAATCATGGCATGGAAGCGTTGATCGCTTCATGTGAAGACCTCCAATCGTTCAAATACCAGCACTCGGATTCGCATCTTGCCTCTCAGGGCTATATACCAACTGCCTTCTATCGCTCTTTGACTCGCAGCAAACGGACTCTCCAGACACTATGGCTCGATCACTACGGTGATCATTATGCTTTCACGTCTGCCGGACTGAATCAAACCCATGATGAATGGTTTGGGTCTTTGGCTGATTTCACCGCCCTCCGCGAGATTCGCATTCGATTACCCAATCTCCTCGATATTCGATATCAAAACGAACCAACGAGTCCTCTCATCAATTGCTTGCCAGGATCACTCGAGATTCTGTACATCGAAGGATGCGAGGAGAGGCATCTGGGTATGCTCGTATCACAGCTTCGGACGGTTGTCAAGAACCGCCGCTCTCGATTCCCTCGCCTCCGATACCTAGATATTGAGGGGGCTTTCCAAACCCCCTCGAGCGATGAAATTGGTGACACGAGGGACCCGGCGTCTAGCCCCGCCGATCACACCATCAAACCCAAGATTATGCAAGCTGCTGAGCTATTGCACGAGGATTGTGCTTCTGCTGGATTGGAATTGCATGTTCATGACCGGGCCTTTTGCAAAGATTTGCATCGTTGACGAGATACCCTCTAAAGCTCCTTTTCTCTTCTCGGAAAAGCTCAATCTCCTTTTGTTTTAGCGTGATGATTCGATGCCCTTACATATAGATGACACCTATGATGTACATAACCCAGCAGGGTCTGGAAACCTCTTTGCGCATTGCGACGTGAATTCATGGACATACATCGTGCATTACGATGGTTAGATATTCTATCTATGGAGTCTTTGAAAGTGACAATTAAGGATAACGACCTAAACCCTCAAGGCTACCTGTTGGTCCAAGGTTGCAAGGGGAATCGATCGTGTTTTCTAGAATCCCATTCACAGAGATGCCAGGACAGCGTCGGCACCCGATTTCTACAAGTCCGTTAGCTCTCCATCGACACAGAAGGGGGTGGGTAACGGGATGCCCCTACCTTGACGGCGCCTCGCTCGGTCTCTATTTGCGCATAGCTGACCTTGCCGTGGTCAATGACAATGGCATAGCGAGCAGTGCGTCCGGATGCCTCATCAGCCCAGCCAATGCTCTTGGAGAACTTAGCATCGGGATCAGTGAGGAAGAGCTATTTCCCCAGAATTGTTATTGATTGATTCAAGCACTCGTGTAGGGCGGTTGGTACTCACAATCTCATCTCCGCGAACCTCGTTAGCCTTGCCCCAGGCGCTCATGACGAAGGGGTCGTTGAAAGCCACGTTGTTTACGATATCCACACCCTTTGCGCGGAGCTGGGGCAAGTTCTTAATGTATCCGGGTACGTGGTTGACGGAGCAGGTTGGGGTGAAAGCACCTAGCAGGTTCGGAGTCCCAGTCGTCAGTCGTTGCACCATTGGCGGAAAACAGATGGAGGGGATACGTTTGGAGACTCACCGGGAACGGAGAACAGAACAACCTTCTTGTCCGCCCATTCCTTCGAGGCATTGTAGTTGATGGGGATACCACAGGCCTTAATATCACCGCTCTCCTCCGACCAGGGGATGTATCTACAGACGGGGAGTTGTTAGCGGAGCTCTGGAGGTATTGTGGGGATAGCTCAAGGGGTCCGAGACACTGAGGGAGCGGAGGCACTCACTGGAAGACGACGTCGCTGGGGAACGCGTCACCGGACTTGAGAGTAGTCATTTTGAGTATATGCGTAGTGATGGTCGAGCAAGAGGGAGATCTGTATGGAAGTGGGAATGAGAGAGTAAGAAGGAGGAGTCGAATTGAGCACGACATCCAGACTGCGGGGCAACCAAATCACCTCGGGACGGGGAATCTCGCGGCGGCTGAGTAATTCCGGGGCTATTTGGGCAACTGGCCAGTCCGGGGACCGGAGTCCGCCGAGATTCCTTCCAAGTCTCAACGGTGAAGAGCTATGTAACTTCAATCACACCTTCATCCACTCCCAATCGCAAAAGACAGCGACATTGGGCTAATCTCACAATGCTCACTCTCCATGCTGACGGGTCACTTAGCTCGTCGAAGCTTTAATGTCTCTATTCACGGTTCTGGGACTGCTGATGTGTTCTTTCGCCTTTTGAGTATGATGGTTTGAAGAGAATCAGCCTAATTTTCTTCTCGCTCTTCTCATTTTTGGCCAATTCTACCCTGAATACAGTTGCTGGTATGTGACATGACCCTTATAAACCATCAACTCGTCCCTTGACACCCCCGGCATATTGTTCAAAGGGCCGGTCTGCGGGGGTGGAGTTGAGTGGCGCGGGTCTCACGCGGATATTCGATCATCCATCCACCTTCATAATATCACCGGGTTAGCAACCACCAAGCAATGTTTGTGACTCCGCATCCTCCTTGATTCTTTGAGTCATACACGATGTCTTCTATCTGGCCTCCAGCAAGCATCAATGAGTTTGGCATCGCTACTTTGTCTCTCGGAAATTGGAGAGCGCACCGGCTTACACCTCGACTCGAAGCAGCTGCCGAGGCCGGCTACCAATGGATTGATCTTTTCGACGAGTGCTGGGCGGCCTATCTGGAGGAACATGGACTTCCCGGTGATCAACTGTGGGAACCAACTCCTGAGAATCTCCGTGTTGCAGGCAAGCTAGGTGATCTTGTGAAGTCGTTGGGAATGCGCATTGCTTGTACCCAGCCTTTGCGGAAGATTGAGGGTGTGAAAGATCCTGCTGAACGCCGCGCAACCCTTGATATGGTTGCCAAGCGATTCCCGTTCATGCGTGCTTTCGACACCGATCTCGTGTTCATGTGCGCCAATATTCGCACCGATGAAGGAGTAACCTCCGACCTAAAAACCGTTGCTCGAGATCTCGCAGAGCTGGGGGATATGGCAGCTGCGTATGCAAGGAAAGATGGGGGACGGATGCTCAAGATCGGTTATGAGGGTCTCTCCTGGGCGGCAAGAAACACATGGTCAGCCTCGTGGGAAGCGGTGAGGTTCGCCAACCGTCCAAATGTCGGCTTGATCGTCGATGCATTTAATGTCCTAGCTGTGGAGTTCGCGGACCCTTACAACCCAGCGGGACATGGGCGCATATATCCGACTCTAAATGAGTCCCTCGATGTTCTCGCAGGATCTCTGGCATCCCTTGCGCGCAGCGTTCCAGGGGACCGAATCTTCTTTTTCCAGTGCGGTGACGCAGAGCTCGTCAGTCCAGCAGCATTCCATCCACCGGCCGACCCATCGACCCCGGCTCTTCTACCCTGGTCGAGAAATCATCGTCTGTATCCTTTAGAGCAATCACTAGGGGGGTATATGCCCGTCGAGCTCGTAGCCGCTGCTGTGCTTGCGACGGGGTACAAGGGACCGATGTCCCTCGAGGTTTTCAACACGTCTCTAAATCAACCTGTCAAGGATGTCCCAAGAGTGCATGCCTCTCGTGGTATCGTCAGTCTGCAAATATTGACGCAGGTTACAAGAGAATTACCTCCTTTCTGGCAAAGCCAAGCCGATGCGCAGCAAGCGATATCTACAGTCGCCCGACGTTTGCGAGGATCGAGTCAGAGGCTATAGGCTTCCTGATACTGGAGAACTGTGGGCGTAACGTTTAAAGTATGCTAGATAACTAAGTACTTCTGGAATCTATTGCACGGACAGAAAAGCTGCTTCTCAAAGCGTAGACCAATTTTTTCAATTGAGACCGCTCACTTTCTCGGTAGCAATTATTGATGAGCGTGCAGTAGATCTCCTTTTCTGGCGGTAAATTGGATATTCCGTTTGAGACCAGTCTTAGGTCTATCCGTCTTTGTGCACTGGGCATTGGGTGCGTCCACGTCTACATGAGTGCGTGAATTCAGTGGTGCGGAATAAGCTCATGCCGATTGAGCGCATCTCGCGATATCAGGATCAAAGGGGTCCAAAGGCTCTTGACAATGGCTGTTTGTTTATCCATTTTCTGGTGAAGATTGCCTGCTGCCGATTAGATGGTTCCTAGCTTAATCCATATGTGGGGACGATTCCCTCCGGCTACTTAATTTGACTGCCGGTGCGGAGGCCAGACAACAAGTGAATTATCAGCGACGTGACTGTGTATAAGTAAAAGGAACCCCTTTTTTTCGAAATTATCAAATTAACAAATCTCAAATAATGGAGGTTCTTGATGTCGATACTCTAGTCTGTGGCGGCGGCATGTCAGGCATGGCGTGTGCTGCCTTTGCCGCAGAGGCTGGAGCCCGAACACTGGTGGTAGAGAAGCAAACAGAGATTGGCGGATCTTCAAGTCTCTCCGCGGGGATGTTGTGCGTAACTTCCTCCTCTCTGATACTTGACCGGTATAGCTTGTTGACAATCCGAACACGCAGCTGGGCACCTTATGCATATGACAAGCTGAGGTCCTGGGTTCCAGACGGCGATCCCACATTGCAGCGCGCATGGTTGAACGAATACCTTCCAGCGGTTCAGTGGATGCGCGAAAATGGCATACCCACGGCCAAACGATTCGATGGGATCATGACCATAGGTATGTTTACTGTCGGCTGTTGATACTAGTTTCACGCATGCTGAAATCGTCCAAGGAATTGGATTTCCAATCAAAATCCCCGAACTCCATAAGGCTCACCAGCAACGTATGGCTGCAAGCAAAAACGGCTCTATAATTCTCACCAATACATCGGTGGTCAAACTCACTCAAGAAAACCCCGGGGTACCCGGATCTCGTGTTAATGGCGCCATCATATGCGAACAAAAACCTGGATGTACTGCCGTTTATTATCAGGTGAAGGCAAAGCTGGTTGTTCTGGCTACCGGTGGTTTCCAGGGATCTCCCAGCATGACAGCCAAGTATCTCGGTCAAGGAGGGGACAATATTTTCGTGCGTTCAAATAAGGGCTCTGTGGGCGATGGTCTCAACTTAGCTATCGCAGCCGGGGCTGGAACAAGCAGAGGTCTGAATACTTTCTATGGCCACCTGTTGGCGGCGCCTGTTCGAGCTGGGGATGTCAATCCACAGGATTATCTGCCTTTGGCTCAGTATCGTGAGTATTATTACACAACTTGGTCACTAAGTAGCCTAGTGCTGACTGCAGTTCAGAGAGCAAATACTGTATGCTTCTAAATGAATCTGGTCGCCGGTTTGCCGATGAGACAATGGGCGATGAAATCGTGAACCAGTACCTGGCCAAGCAGGAAAAGCGCCGTGGCTTCCTACTCTTCAAGTGAGTGACTTTGATATGAAACAGTCGTGTTCTAACTAAAATGGTCTCTAGCGAGAAAACTCGCCTTCGTCATTGCACGGGCGCACTCTTCCCTAATGCAGGGGATGTTGATCGATTGCAGAAAGCTCGCGAGTACGGCTGCCATGTTGCAAAGGCATCCACCCTCCGTGAACTCCTGGAAGTTCTCCGTAGCTGGGGAGTGGACCACGTTCAAGCAGGAAACACGATTGAGCGATACCATCAAGTTGTCGGGCAAGGCCAGAAAAATATTTTCCTCGATGCCCCGGCTGGTGGTGTAGGCGCTCCTCCAAGACCGCTGGTCGACGGAGAAGGTCCATTCTACGCTATGGAGGTCCAGCCGTCGTAAGTCCCCAATAATCATATACCCTTGAGCAACCAATGACTCTAACATTTATTTCCTAGAATCACCTTCACCTACGGAGGGATCTCAGTTGATACCCAAGCACGTGCTTTGACGCACGACCAGAACATTGTTCCAGGGTTACTCGTGGCGGGAGTTGACGCAGGAGGTTTTAGCAACCTGGGATATGCTGGAGGCCTCGCACTTGCTTTTGTGACCGGCTTGTGGGCTGCCCGATCCATTGCACGAGAACTAGGGTTAGTAGAGCCCTCTCTGCCACCTGCTGATTCAAGCGACGCAGCTCCTCTTCAATCACGTCTATAAACACCGCTACATCTTTCTCGGGATGGGAGCTTCGGTGCATTTGGCAGTCAAAGGTCAATTCAAACTACTGTGAATTAGGGAAATGAATGGTAGAACTTGACGGTGGCTAGATTCTCGCTTGGTCCAGCCCAGAATAATCAAATCTGTCCCTCGTCGATCACCACTTGAGCGACTAGTATTCAAGCCCAATACCCCCCGGTTATCATGTGCAACTAATGCCCTGAAATGAAATAGCAAAACCGCTTTATCTGTTAAATATTCAGGCCCGACTCGAAAATGATGAAATTTCAAGCAAGTTTTCATTCTGGTACTTTACAGAGATTTCCAAATATTGCGACAGTGATACTTCACTGTGTTAATTGTACATTGGGTCGCGGACTTCTTCGTGTCGTGCCCTCATTTCTCTGCCACAAGAACGCCACGGTATCGCATTTTGCCTTCCTCCAGAGTCTTGAGGCTTTCCTTGACTCCTTCAAGTGTCATTGGGAACGTCATTTTGATGGGTTTGATGTTGTGTACAGCGGCGAATTCAAGCATGTCGCGGTGAACCTGTCTTGCCGAAACGAGTCCTCCTTTTATACTGAGGCCGTTCAGCAGCAGAGGCATGTATGGGATCTTCAAGTCGCTTGAATCAACGGAGAGGGGCGAAATCACGCCGTTCGGAGCCATCACGTTCAAATACAGCTCCCAATCGGGTTGACTACTAGTAGTCACGATCAGGTTATCGATGGGCTGATCCAACTTCAACTGCTTCGCACCCTTGGTCGCATAGAACTCCTTTGCGCCCAGCTTCAATGCCTCTTCTTTCTTGCTATCGGTACCGGAGAACACAACCACTTGGCAGCCCATCTTTGCCGCAAATTGAATAGCCAGATGCCCCAGGCCTCCGACTCCAACAATACCAACTCGGGCTGTGGGAAGGACGTGGGCGATGGTGAGTGCGTTCCAAACGGTCGATCCACCACACATGAGAGGGCCAGCATCCTCGTTGCTCATTTTGTCCGGAATTTTAAACAAAAATGCTTCACGCCACACGGCGTGGGTGCCGAATGAGCCTTGATCAAGATCTGCATAAGCGTACATTTTGCGCTCTCGGCACATGGTCTCCCATCCTGTGAGGCATTGACGACAATGACCGCAGCAATCATGCTCATATCCCCAACCCACTCGATCGCCTTTCTTCAGAAGATGGGCTTCAGGTCCAGTTGCTTCTATCACGCCAGTCCCTTCGTGACCTAATGCCATATCGGTATTCCGGTAGTGGACATCGGTGAAACAGACGCCCGAGTGCGTGATCCGAATGAGGACATCGTCGCGCTTCAAGTCAGGTCGCTCGGATTTCCTTTGTACAATGGTTCCGTCTTTCGAGCCTTTGAATACAGTGAACTCGATCGGCATGGTTGAAGAATTCGTGCAATGGGTCTTTTCGGTAGAAGTTTACTTTAGGCATGGTTTTAGCGAGCTGTTGGTCTGCTTTTTAAGATCCCTGAATGTTACGTCACCATCCATTCCAACTGCTACACGCGGCAGCAGTTACAACCTTGACCTAGAGTCAGCTTACTGAAAATAGAGTTTCGATCTGGAATTGACAGAATATGTGACGCACTCGATGCAATCTCCTGGGCGTGGACGGATCTGTACGGATCCGTTCGGGTCGCTGCTATCTTCGTAGCCGGATCTCGCTTTTAGTCAGCTTTCTCTCTTAGAGTTGTTCAAGAAGATCTAGGTCAAAACTGTGGCAAACACGGAGATAACAAACTCCATATTCAAATGGAGATCATCAACCTTGAAGCAAGGTCTTCCGTGGGCCTACTTTGTTTCTGTCGCTGTTCTGGCCTGGTACTATATATCCATCGCTGGTTTTGGCGCCAATACTCGGTAGCTTTCCCGCAGACCATGAAGGCCTACAACCGACGGAGTACATGCTGACTTATTTAGGTGACCTTATACAAGTGGCTTCAAAATGATTATGGTTCACAATGCCTTGAGAGAAGGTTGCGGATAAGCGGATAAGAAACAATTCAAGACTGGGGCAATGACGTTCTCCTCATCAAGACAACCCTCATATCCAAAAGTATTAATGATTTTGCCCCCCCCCCCCCCCCTCCCGCGGTCCCTTGCACATCTTCTTCAAGATTGATTTGCGTGAACAGTCACGATCTTATTGAGAATACTGGTCAATCAAGCCTGCACAGACTTGAAGTGTCCTGTACAATGTCTGACCTCTCAATTAAAGCCGATGCTTTCCGAGGACGAGAATCTTGGACCTCCACCGCCCGCAAGCGGCGTACAGTGATCCGATTCTGCCGGATTTATTCTGGCGGTGGAGTTCGCGATATCGGCCGTCCCAAACAGGAAATTCTCGAAAAGTTAGTTTTGTGTTTTTTTTTTTGTTTATAAGAAGTCACATTTTCTAAGAAATGACCTCAGACTTCGCGTGAAGAAATTAAAAAGTCCAACCCGCAATATTTCGGAGTGAGAGAATGATTCAACTATCCGGTGTTGGCCCTGCCAACGACCCTACGCATCTCTCCGACAAGGATGCAGCGTTAGCTGTAGTGAGCGATGTGGCTCAGGAGATCGACCCGGTGATCGGAAAACGAGTGTTGAGGAAGATCGACTGGTACTTCATGCCAGCGATGCTGATTGGTAAATTGAAAACCTCACTCAGTGAATACATCACGGTCTAATCAATTCCTTTATAGGTTACGGCTTAGTTTACTATGATAAGGTTAGCTGAGCTCGACAAGCATCACGTCTGCGGCCCACGTTGACAATTCATACAGGCGATTCTGGGCAGCGCGGCATTGTTTGGGATGACTACTGACCTTCAATTGAAAATTGTTGACAATTCAACCTCTCCGCCTACCGTTGATACATCACGTCTCAGTTGGGCTACATCAATTTTCTATTTTGGAATGTTAGCTGGACTTTATCCCATGACGTTTGTGTTGCAAAGATTTAACATTCGCCATGTTTTGGGCCCTGTCGTTCTCCTGTGGGCAATTGTTTGTGCGGCCACTGCTGGTGTCACGTCCTGGCAAGGACTCTTCGTACAACGGTTCTTCCTTGGTAGATATACATCTTCTACGTTGCGCTACATCACTCTAACATTGAGCAGGCTTCATCGAAAGTGTGATCCCAACTAGTTTCATGACCATCGTTAGTGGCTACTATACGCAGGAGGAGCAGGCTCTTCGGCAAGCTTGGTGGTTCTCTGGTACTGGCTGGTTCACCATTATTGGCGGTGCCCTTAACTATGGCTTTGGCCAAATCACTTCTGGGTCCTTAGCCAGGTGGCAGTATATCTATATTCTTGCCGGCGCCTTGACATTCCTTTTTGGCCTTTGGTGCTGCACCATTCCCAACTCGCCCGTGTCGGCCTGGTTCTTGACTCCAGAGGAGCGAATGGTAGCGGTGGAGCGACTGCGAAAGGGCCAGACCGGTGTTCGATGCCAGAAGATCAAGCTTGATCAAATCAAAGAGTCATTGACCGATGTCAAAATTTACCTAGTGGCTGTCATGATGGCTGCAGCGTGAGTAACCCCTGAAAGCGCCTGCAATGTACCTGGCTGGGTATACTTGCACCTCCAAGTTCCATGCTAACACAACTAGATACACAATCAATGGAGCTATCTCTGGCTTCGGCCCGTTGATCGTCTCTACATTTGGATACAACACTTTGGACTCTATCTTGTTCCAATTCCCTGTGGGAGGTGTTTGCGTAATCTTTATCCCGCTATGTGGATACATCTCTACCGTTGTTCCCAATACACGAATTCCTATGCTCATTGCATGCTGTCTCCCTGTCATTGCCGGGTGTGTGATGATTTGGAAATCTCATTGGGGATACCAGCCTGCCGTTCCGGTCATCGGCTATGCACTCACTGGTTTCTTCGGACCGGTCGTCAGTTTGATCATCACTGTTGGTGCCAGTAATGTCGCGGGGGCTACTAAGAAAACAATCATGGCTGCCACAGTCTTCGTTGCTTATACAGTCGGAAACATTATTGGACCACAGCTTGTCAAGAGCAATACAAAGGCACAGCATTATCCGGAATTATGGACCGGAATGGTGATATGGTGAGTCTTGCTTTTCATAAGAAAATTGATCTTTTAACTGACCGGACTCCAGTTATTCTATCACCATCGCTGCAGCCATCGCCCTGTACGTTGTCCTGTGGAAAGAAAATAAGGCTCGGGATGCCATCGAGCTTGACGAGGTGCAACGTGACAAGATTGCCTTTGACGATCTTACTGACAAGCAGAATCCGTTCTTTCGGTATGCTCTGTAAGCTCGGTAGAGAAAACAGTCCGTCCGAGCAACGATCTAGTCTGCACCCCAAGCCCCATTCAACCTGGGACGGCAGACTTTGTTTCAAAATTTATTGAATGCGCGACTCCACGTATTCAAATCAAAACTTGAACCTTTGATAATACCGTTTTTGAATGTACGCCTCAAGCATGAGGATTAATATTAGTTCATAATTTCCGATCTCTCTTTTGTAGAGGTGTCTACTGTCAGGAGAGCCACTTAGTTACAAAAGAGTCGTCCATGTAAGTATGACCTTTTTGATCCTAGGCCATATTGTAGGTTGCGCACTCCTCCTATTTTGACGCTTGTAACATTCTGAATGATTTTTCGAATTCATTAACTCTCGTAATATTTTTCTCCTAGGACCTATGGCGGCAGTTGTCACGTCATCCGTTCCGGAATCTTGAAGATTCCGAATTCCTTTACCCCGCAAAATTTCGCTTTTATATCAACCAAATCACCCCGATTGTTCGATGAGAAATAATTCTTTTTCGCAATGGCAGAAGTGCAAAAAGCCGAAAGGAGTATTTGCTCGGATGAATTGGTCACCAGTCGCAACCCAAGATTTGAGGTAACGTGGGGTGCTGCTGACAAGGAAAATCCAAGAAATTGGCCAGTATGGTACAGATGCTTTGTAGTTTCTGCCATGTCCTTCTCGACCACAATAGTGTAAGTTTCTTTTATACTTGTGGAATCAGTCAGAGAAAGCCAATAACATCCAGCCATGTTGATCTTCAGGGTCATGTATACCACAATGTATACCTCAGGTCTCTCCGGAATGCAGGACGCATTCAAAACTTCGGAAACAGTGGTGCTGCTGGGTCTTACTACAAATCTTTTCGGACTCGCTATTGGATCAGCCGTGCTTTCGTCACTATCTGAGCTCTACGGCCGAAGGCCTCTCTACCTCCTCTCCGTCTTTCTCTATGGCATATTTGTCCTGCCTGTGGCGCTCGCAAAGAATATCGAAACAATCTTGATTACCAGATTTATCAGTGGCTTCTTTGGTGGGGTGTTGATATCGAGCGGACCTGGAAGCGTTACTGACGTAACTAACGATCAATACCGTGCTCTTGCGCTGAGCTTTTGGAGCCTTGGTGCAATGAATGGCCCCGTCTTGGGTATGCTCCAACCCCTGATTGGACCACTACATGTGACTTGCTTTCTTACAATTAAATGCACGCCCATCATATAGGTCCCATAACCGGCGGTTTCATCTTTCAGTATCTTGGCTGGCGCTGGATCAATTGGATCATCTTGATCTGCACAGGGGCCTCCCTCATCTTGATGTTTTCAGTTAAAGAGACATATGCACCCGCCCTCCTTCGCCAACGAACCAAGAAATTGCAGAAAGAGACTGGTGATCCACGTTGGTGGTGTCAATTTGACCATAAGCAGACGGGCCTTCAAATTCTGAAGACCAACATGATCCGTCCCGTTCGGATGATTTTTCTTGAGCCAATCTGGTAATTGAAACAAATTCCTCTCGGTACATGCATTATATGGGATGTACTAACTGGGCGGTAGTGTCTTTTGGAACTTATACATCGGAATTGTTTATGCGGTTCTTTTTCTCTGTTTCGTCGCCTACCCCATAGTTTTCGAAGAGCATCGGGGCTGGTCCCCGAGTCTTGCAGGGCTAGGTTATTGTGGTATCGGAATCGGCACTGCCATTGCCGTCATTTCAGAGCCTCTGATTCGAAGAGTCATCGATTTACACCCTTCAGATCCAAGCACGGGTCGACCAGCCCCCGAGGCTGCGGTGTGGGCTGTTTGTCTAGGAAGTGTTTTGATCCCAGTTGGGGAGTTCTGGTTCGCGTGGACAGCTAAATTGTCGTTCCATTGGATACTTCCGATCCTATCGGGCCTTCCATTCGGCTTGGGTAACGGTCTGGTTTTCATCTACTCAACAAACTACGTAGCTGGAAGCTACACAGTTTACGCAGCCTCGGCCTTGGCGGGAAATTCGATTGTGAGGTATGGCCTTGCCGGCGTTCTCCCGCTTGCTGGGTCCAAGATGTACCACACGCTGGGCCCTAACTGGGCCGGGACCGTGTTGGCCATCATTGAGGTGGCATTGATCCCCATTCCATTCTTCTTCTACAAATTTGGCCATAAAATCCGACTTCGAAGCCCGATGATTGTGAAGGAGTAGGGAATGTGGCGATTGGCAAATGATTCGAGGTGAAAAACGTGGCTATGACCGACACGGCCTTTTTTTGGAACATTGCAATATTGGAGCCCGTAAAATTCTTACCGGTTACATCCGGTGTATATAGCTTCACTTTCAACATAGATTGCGGCTATCTCGACGTTGAATAGTAATAGAATAGGCTTCGTTTTTCTCGTCTTTCATGTGAATATATAAAGTATTGGCATTGTGTTTCTCCAAGGACGGTTTTTCTCAACGGGCAGCCCGCACTCTGCCCCTGTATATTGATCAGTCCCATACAGGGAGAATCTGTGTATCGACACCATTAGAAAATAAGGACTGTAGCCATTCCATTCCACGGTTGATCATTTCTCCCGGTAAGGGAGCATCTATATCTCCTTCAGGCGGCACAAACCCGTACATTTGTGACGAAACGGCTCCATAGCCATCACAATAGTTTTGAGCATCCTCTTCACCCCTCATTCTAACATCTGATTCTGTTCCATTACTTATTTGTGTTGTGTGGTATGGGAAAGCCTCTGGTCCTTGAGAGCTGGCATCTCCCAGGGTCGGATGACCGTCACCACCAAATTTCGACCTCGTAGTTCTGGCTCCTTCTCGTGTTGGGTCTGTCCGTTGGTAACTATGTGTTTCTGTGACTCCTGAAAGCGCTCCAGCGTCCGGTGCTGTCCGGATATAAGGGTTAGTAATGATATCGATATACCTCCGATGTTCGATTGAAGGTGCTGGAGAGGACATTGTCGATCGAATAGGGTTAACCATCGTAGAGTGTAAAGATGGACTCCTTCCGTTCTTTGAAGTGCGCTGGGCCAAATCTTTGGTCGCAGGTACACCGCTTGCGCCACCTGCAGAGTGAGACAGGCGGTCTAGCGGTATATTACTGGAACTTAAAATTGCATCTGCAATTTGTCTCAGTTTCCATACTGTGTGGATCATCTTGCCCGACATCCATGTCTTGCGACAATGTTCCTTCAGGGATTGAGTGGCCCTGAGCGTTAGAGCTCCGTAGGAACTTGTAAACGAAGGTTGTTTGATGATGAGCCCAAGTGCAATTATCGTAGCACTTGTCAGGTAATGCAAGAATGGAAACGTGTACTTTGGGTGTTCTTCTGGTACATTTTTGAAGTCATCGATGATTCTCTGAGCCAGGCGCATACAGATGACTTCGTTCTCGATCTCCTCGGGTGATGAATTGTGATCACTTCGCGTTTTTCGAAGCATAGGCTTGCGAATCAAAAGATAGAGTGAGCACCACCGCTGTTATTACTTTTAGTTCCGGATCAAGCGCATGAGAAAATAGAGGCAAAAAAAAGAGCGGAATCCAGGCTGGTGGAAGGACTTACCATTCGCATCATGAGATGTTGCTTCACTTGCCACCAGGCTAAACCTTCACTATTATATTTATCTTCATGATAGGGGTCGTGTGTAAATTCCTTTTGAAGACCTCTCTGCGACTGAGTTGTCAAATGCTCAAGATATTCATGTAGCAAGGGGCTTGGGCTCGAGTCGGATGTACCAGCCCCATATAGAGCTTCCCACACCTTTCCAATGACCTTGGAATAGCTAATCATAGCTATGAGGTACGGGACCGACGTAGGAATTTGTTCCTTGGTTGGCGCATTAGGGTTCATTGCCAGCTGGGTTGTCTTGTTGGTAGTGAGCCATTCGTCACTAACATTGCTTGGGAGTCCCACATCGACGTTTATGTCCTGGATGAGGAATGGACGGCCGGTTTCGATGGCCAGCCTTCGATCCAACAGGTAGATGCACCACCACAAGCGGCGAGCCATTTCACTCTGAAATGCAGACATTGCACTGACAACTCGCTCCCTGTGAAGGCCAATATGATGCGCGTGCGATATGGCAAGGGCTAGAATTTTCTCAGCCGATCCGTGCGCATCGAGGCGAAAGAGGTAAACTACCATCAAAACAACCGTTTGTAGGACAAGGACTTGGTCCTCACACTGTCGGAACCCGTCAATGAGGTCACCGAATATCTCCCTGGCAGCGCTGTAAAGGCTCCAGCCGGCGGAATAAGGGCCTCTGTCGTCTTCCAATCGCGCTGATTCCACACATTTTCCGTTTGCAATACAGAGTAGAAGCTGGGCAGCTTGTACTCGGTGACTGCCTTGCTTTGGCTGGTCTTTGAATCCATCATGCCAACCAGACTTCCAGAGCTCGTCATGAAGATGCCATAAGCTAGGAAGATGGAGGAATGGCACAAGAATCTGCACCTCGTCACAAAATGTGCGCAGAAGTCCATCCCATTGGCGACGGTCCGGTACGATGCGATGCGCATCCAAAACCCTTGGGATGAAGCTCGTATTTCGGCCCAATAGATCTTCTGGTGCTTCATTCGGTGAAGGCGTCAGGCGTGATATGAATTGCTGACTTGGCGATGCGGAGCGAAGTCTTTTATATTCCACGCCCATCTGTTTCAGTCGTCCCTCGACGACCGTGAGGCTATGGGCCACGGATGTCTCTCCAGAGAAGGTTGGAACTTGTGACCGTGAACTCCAAATTCGATCGCTCGATTCCTGAACCGGGCTAATGTCTTGCCTGCGTGAGGAACCGCCATGACCAAACGCCCCATGGGTCCTCTCAGGTTCAGCACATCCACCAGTTTCGGGACCTTCCACTAAGCCCAGTTGGCGCTCGACTATACTCATTCGAGATGCCAAATCTTGGGATCTGGTAGATGCACGCTCTTTGGCTCGCCACCTTCCGCGCATATCTGTACCCACACGTTGACAGTCTCGTCCCTTGAATGTACAGGCTCGACAGGGAGCATTTCCATCGCACTATCAACAGAGTGAGCGACAAGGGTTAACAGGGCTCAAATTGACACCGTATGTCTACCAGCTCTTACTTTTATCTTGCGGCGCTGACACTGGGCACTATCACAGTGGTATTGTCAGTTATCTTGAAGATATCGTCACGGTTAGAATGGGAAAATGCTTACCATGCCTTCGAAACGTATTTCTCTCTTTTCGCTCGCTTGGGTGGGGGTTGAAGGTCATCTTTGGGGTGGTCTCCGCTTTCACTCCGATTACTCTCGGACTCCCGCGATACCTCTGGTAAAATTGTACCTCTCATCTTGAGCTATGATGGAAGAGAGAAAGTAAATTCCGACGAGGTAGCTGACGGAATTAGTGCGGGGAAGAGGAAAGTCTACCGGTGGGTCCTTCGGAACAAACGGGATCTTGACTTTTGGGGGCCGCAGTGGAAATAATACGACAAGCGAACATTTACCGAGGAAGCATGTACTCATTTTAGACGTCGAACAGGCTCCCTCCAGTGCCGGAAGTTTCGAAACGGTGTCCCGTCATATTCCCCCGGGGTGTAATATTTATAGACCTGATAATCGGGGGCACCCTTCAGTGCATCGTTTGCCTTGAGGTCCTTCATCAATGTCTTTATGAATAAGTCATAATCCGACCAGTCGCCCCCGTCACCAGGGCAAAATGTCGAAGAACTGGCTTGATCGGTTCCCCATACGTCATGTGGTAGCAGAATAAAGTCAGCACCGTACTTGCGATAAGTTCGGTAGTTTGACAGGATTGATTCAAGGCGGCCTTTATATTCTGATCATCCCAGATCCAACCTCATGCGGGCGCCTCAAGCTGTGCACCTCCAGCAGGGCATAACGGAGGCCTATGATGGTGTACCAATGATCGGTTATCTGAACTGGCGTGTCGGGGATGCCATAGATTAACCCAGAACCCTAGTGAGCAGGCTGCCCTTCGAAACGCCGAGGTTGACGGTGGCTGTGATATTGTCTGCCGTCACCAGACCAGCCGCGAGAAGAGATGCAAAGATACCCCACTGCATTTTGTCGAGTCTTTTCTTGGTTTTACTGAGCTATTGCTTTCTTGTTCCGTGGAAGGTGCAGCTTGAGCTCCCTTTAGTCCCAGTCCTGGGCCTACCACATCCCATATCGTCTCCGCAAGTCCCATATATCGTGCAAACCGTAGGTAGTCCATTTCTTCCGTGGACGAGGAAAATTTGTAGGGGATAATGCGGAGTTCCAAGGTTTTTGCAGCTTATTTGTTTAAGAAACGGGTAGTGACAACCCTGAAGATGTGGCGTTTCCCCTTGCGCATTAGTTAGTTACTTAACTTAACTAGTTAGTCAGTTAGTTACAGAATGTTAATTTAGTCATCAATAGCATCTCTTCCGGTGGGGGCCACCACTTTTTTTCAATGTCCTATTCCCGTTCCAGCTTTATTCAGGTGCATCGAGAATGACCACGGTAGCTATAGCAGATCTTTGCTGAGATTCATCCTTTCTCTGATCACTCAAACTTCCCTCCATCGCTGTCCTGTACGAGTAGCATGGCTTCATGTTAGAAATTCATTAGCTCTGTTCATCTCTGTAGGTCTTGTAGGTTTCATCATGTAAAGAAGAACTCCGGGGGAGTAATTACTAGACCCTGTTTGCATTGTTGCGGGGCAGTGGAAGAGTCTTTGGGCGCATTACTTAGACCCAGGCTGCCGTCGCTCATATCGATTAACACAAGAAACAGGGCTAGCCATAGTATATCCATATTCATTATTTATCTATTTGCGAGCGCCTTTCTCGGCACTGTGGACAATCGTTTCATGAATCACTTTGATCCCACCGCCATGACTGGTGTGGCTGGTGGCGTCCCAGTCCCCGTCACCCGCAGTGCATGTAGGCGGTTCCTGGCGTGAAGTCGGTAGTATCATCTGCTCGTCGCTTATGGCATTCCATTGAGTGTCGCCTGGTATAGAAAGTGGGTGACGGAACTTCCTGCGCTTCGGGTATCCACTAGCTTCGCCATCCGATAGTTGGTAGGCCGGGTAACTTTCAGAACCAGTCCCTCTTGATGTGATATAAAGGCCTGCACGGCGTGCGATACGGCGGAATAGCGGATAGATCATTGGCACATTACCAATAACAACAGCGACGAAGGTTTCACGACAAGCCCAGCTACCGGCTTGCTGGGCGCCATTGGCACCAGCCTGGAAATCATGGTGTCAGATAAAGCAGAATAATCACCGGAGGAACTGAAAGGGTGGTGGCTTACTGTTAAGATCAAGACACAGCGCAGAATACCAGCCATCATGACGAAGAGACCGCCGCTGAAAAGAACGAGAAGCTCCAATTTCTCACGCCAGTGGAGACGAGCCTTAAGAAGCATCTAGCAAAACAATCTATGAGCTTTGCGATACGGTGAACGATTGACGGAGCGATTGGCATACCGGAGCAGGGATACTAATTAGGTAGATATCGGTCACAACGTTCAGCACAACTGTGACGTAGATATCGATCTTGGAGACTGCAGGTTGACAGTAGTCTGACCCAAGTTTTCACGGTTAGAGACACATTATCTCATCTCAAATGGATTTTGTTTTCCCACTTACTTCCAGGGTCTGGATATATCTGCCAATTCTTATGCATCGGGTGACAACCAAAGAGAATGGAACAAATAGTTGCAATGTAAGTAACGGCAATCATCCCGTATGCGATATTGATTCGGGCTCGCATGTTTATCAAGCCCGACCTAAGCCATTGTCAGCACTTTAAGTGAGCGGATAAGAGCATGGATTGCTGGGTGCTCAGCTGCAGGGCGCAGACTGATCATCTGGGGATCTCACGTCAAACGGGAGTAAAAGATTGCCATGCAGGTCTTCAAAAGCCATAGAAGGAGAGTATACAAAGACCAGCCGATCACCTGGATCTTGGATCCACCCACACGTAAACTATATTCCTTGGAGTCCGGTGATAGTTCTTTGCGTTGTTCATCCGTCATGGAATTGTTGGCTAGGCCTTGGAACCATGCGCCCACTATGTATGCGGCGCCGGTTTCCAGCCCGTACACCACCTATATCAATCAGCAAGGCAATCAAAGGGCAAACAATATTCGTAGATATGTCACGTACACAAGCCAATAGCATCAGATAATCATCTGCCTGGAAATTCCTTGGTCCTACCATGATCCATCGAGCCACAGTACGCAGACCAATGATCACAATGGCCACAGCCAAAAGTGTGAAAGCCTCGGTGTTAAAGTCACCCATGGCGGATTCGGTCTTCGCAGTTTATGGGTTACTTGCTGAATGCCAGACTGCAAAGGAGAATGAAAGCCTCCAAGGGGCATTCATTCGAATAAAAGAAAGACAACGACACCAAAGCATCCAAAGGAGGGAATGAGGGTAGGGGGTGTGAATCAAGAGCAGGGTAGGGAGAAAGATGGACAAATAGTAGCGGGATCTCCCCTGCCGGCCCCTCTGCTTGTCATTGGAACCAGGCCAGACAAAGAAGCCAGCCCGCACAACCGGCGACTTATAAACGCCAGATGCTGGAATTGGGGGAAATGAAAATCGCCCAAAAAACTAAGCGTGGATGAGTCCACCTTCTGCAAGACGCCAGTGGCGGGAGAGAGCCAGTAAGCCGGAAAAAACTATGGAGTACACTAAGGAGCAAAGAGACCCATCTCGATGGAGCAACTCCGGCGTGAACTCGCCTTCTGAGAGGCCGACAGACCAAAAAGATAGCGATGGATACCCGGCTAGCGGCAACGGTTTCGTTCATGACATTCGTCCTACCGATGACAGCTGTGCCTTTTGACACATGTCGATTATCGGGCTTCTTCAATTCCCCACCTTTCAAACGCCGCCGGGGAGGAATTTCAAGTTCCAGACCACAATCTCTACTCCTTCCTACCTTTGCTTCCGGTTGGCGGGTCATTTGTTTTTTTGGGAAAGCGAAAGGGCGACAAAAAGCTCCACTCCTCCCCTGAGTTCGACCATAGAGTTTCCTCATGCAGAAAAGATGATCGGCAGTGGCTCAGCCCGTGGTCATAGTTTGGTTGAATAAGACTATCCAGGCTGATTAGGCATTCCGTACTCTCTATCGCCGTGTTTTGTGTCGAGTATTCCACTCTCTGTTGTTGGGCTGGTGCGAGGGCGAGTCAGAAGGAGAAGTGCCACTCTCAAAGAGGTGACTCTGTCCAACCATCCCACCCGTTCTACTCTACAGGATTCGGTTACATCGACCGGGAATGACCTGCTGGGATCCCTGACTCGGAGGGCCATTTTTCTTTGTTTGGCATCAAGACCAGCGCAAAAATCAGTGAACACGCTGACGCAGTCACAGGCCTGGTTGCGGTGATGGAATCTGTCTATAGCCGGGCCAGTCATAATATACAATCAATTTTGCTTGGTGGCCACCAGCCATAGTTAGTTATAATTTCTCGTCGTAGTGTAATCAATCGTCCGATCCCGATCTTCCATTCATTTTCATTCGGTCCAGACATGGGCGCAGTCGACTAGACTTGCTCTACAAGGGTGCCAGGATTGTCGATCCGACTTTCGGAGATTGCGTCTTGCAGTGCACGTCCAGGATTATATTTTCAATACTTGGAGAAGGTTAATCGTAGTTTGCCGAACACTTGGACCCTATCGTGCATCGGGTACCGGTAGTGGATACGGAGACTTAGTTGATAACTTGATTATTTGATTATGTTGCAATATGCTTAAGCCTATGCCCTTCTTTGACTTTGACTCTATCTCTGTTGACTTTGGATCTATTATTGTTCTTTTCTCGCTTACGCTGTGGATTCACACCTTCCAACTCGAATGATGCGATCGGCTTATGAACAAGAGGACCAGAGTAGTAGGCAACGTCGGAAATTGACTCTAGCTGATTCGGAGGGCCAGTATGGCTTTTCGCAACTTCCATATCCTTGAATTTTTCATTTTGCTTTTGTCGTCTCTTGTCAAAGTAAGAATTATGGTCCTCGGTCTTGTCATGGCGGTAATCGCGGATAGGCGACACGTTTCTGGTAGGCTTTCTCCACTATTCAGGCCTCTGGCCGCCCGCCCTGGATAGGTTCCATGTTTCAGAGCGCGGGTGGAGGGCCGCACTCGACCAGAAGTACGAGAATTGAACAGCTATGGAGTACTTGGCGAATCCGCTCTGTCGAGCGCCAAGTGGAGCCGGTTCTGGCAGAGCGGATCGCGATGGAGCAAATGGAGAAAATCACAATCCGGTTCTCGTGTTACGTTTCCCACTTCTCTTGGTTCGCGCCGTTGAGAAGTTCTTAAATGGTCTTAGATACCCACTGGATGGGGATGTCCCGTCCTAACCCCATCTCTGTGTATATTGAGTAGTTCGCGCCTATGTCGGACGGGCTGGAAACATTGCCCGAAGGTCGACGCGACGGAGCTCTTGCGTTGATGCGATGCACTATTGTCGGCGGCACGCAACCGATCGGGCAGAGTATCCGCTCATACATAGCGCTGCACGTAGTACGAAGCCACTCGATCAGTCAGTCTATTTAAATCGAGTCTCTTTTTCTTTACTGAACAATCCGTGGGTCAAAGGGTCGAGGATGGCGACCTGCATAATGCTTGGTTTTTCGACTGGGTCAGTTCAAGGTTATTGAGGGATGAATTGAAGAAGATCCATGAGAATCCACCAACGAAGCACCCATAACAACCCAAATTATTTAGATTGTCATCGCTTGGGGCCGTTCCACTGTGCAAAATAACTTTATTATTTCCCCAGCTCAAGGGCCACTAGTCAGGCCATTAGTGGCGAGAGCTTCGGAGCTTCCTTAGTGCGCCTCGCTAGCTCAACGCCCAAGCCCATGCTATCGGGATTCTCGTTTGGCTCTTCATAGGACCCATGGGCTTCCGTTTGATCCCGCCGGGATGTTTACTCCGTAGTTTTCGGGTCCCAGAAGGGTGACTCCAAATTTGGATCAGAAAGGTTAGTGATCGTCGACACGGCCTGGGAGTGGCCCCACGTTGAACCAACGCACGCTTTGACAGCAGCCCCTAGCGCACGTCAAACGACGGAGGCAAGGTTAACTTTTTGGCACCAGTCTGTCGGGCTTGACGAGATTGCAATCGCCGCCGTCATGAAGAATCCCAATTCTGAACTTGGGCCTGGACGATAGGATCATCGTTGAAGAAGATTGACAGAAGCAAGATTGTGAGATCACGCGGGTATAAGCGGATCTAGCATGAGCTCTGGGTCTTCGAAGACATTCATACGACAGGAAAAGCATGCGTACAAAGTCGAGAGAACAGGGTATTAAGTACAGTATTTCGATAGTCTAATGGACGAGTCGCCATCACCCACCAGTCACAACCGCTTCGGGCCGGCTGCATGCCAAGTCGCTTGCAACGAGGAATGCCCCTGACCAAAATGGCTTCATGAACACTTAGCTTTCTCAGGTTAGGGAGCTTTCGGAGAGCCATCCGGCCCATACGAAACGGCTAGCTAGCACTGTATACTGGTTAGTGGGGATTTCAAGTTAAATACGGAGACAGAGTCAGCGTCCTCGTGATGGCCTAGTTGGCGGTCGTCGCGAAGTAACACCTCCGGAGTAGTTTGATCACTGTACTCCGTAGTCCCAAAATCATATCCAACTTTTTTCTCAAAGCTTCCCCCGTGGTGGCGTCCGATGGCAGCCACATTCTTTGACGACCGTTTCCCGACTCAGTCCGAGGTGGACGCAAAAAGTGCTGTTAGTTAGAAACCGTATGTACTCGCACGAACCTCGTACTCCGTCGTACTAAGTTAGTCTAGCCCAAGCCCTAATCCGCCGTTGCGATTCATTTCCCCCTAGTTATTAGCCCTCTTGCCAGGCCCACTGAGGGGTGCTCCAACTGCAGAGGTCTGTATGTACTCCGTACAAACAATGATTGACTAACGGGTTTTTGGATTGGCTGGTTGGCTAGTCACCACTCCCCTCGCATACCGTACTAATAAGAAGCCAGTCCACCGGCACTTGTAGTTCTACAATGATCCGCAGGCACACTCTTTTTTTTGCCGTTTGTTTACTTTTCTTTCTGAGCACTTGAGAGGGGAGCGACACTCAATTCGTGGTTGCTTTTTCTTCTTTGTTCTCATTGAGGGGTCTCCACTCCATATCGAGCTTCGTTCGCAGGGATCAGCGCGCCAGCGAGTCAGTTCACTCGGTCGCTTTTTTTCCTTTAGACACCTTCGATCACTACATCGGAAAACTTAACAATCCCGTCCCAATTTTCCCAACTCCCCTCAAAAATGGAAAGCGTGGACTTGGTCGTGGTGGGCGCAGGTGAGTCCATCGTCCGGAAATTGGGGTGTTGCGCGCAATCGGCACACTCATGCGATTAGCCGTATTCTAACCAAATCGCAACTCTCGCCAGGATGGAGTGGACTTGCGGCGATCAAAACCTACCGCGATCTGAACCCCGATAGTAATGTGCTCCTTCTGGAGGCCGCCGACTCCGTGGGTGGAGTGTGGGCCAAGCACCGACTGTACAAGGGCCTCAAGTCCAACAATATGCTGGGCACCTACGAATTCAGTGACTTCCCAATGGATGAAGCTACCTTTGGAGTCAAAACTGGAGAACACATCCCAGGCGAGATCGTTCAGCGCTACCTCGAAGCTTACGCGGAACGATTTGGCTTCACCGATCGCATCCGACTCGGCCACCGCGTCGAGAGCGCGCAGCACAATCTGGACAGCACTTGGCAATTGAAGGTGTCGCACGGGGAAGAACTGGCAACCATCGACACGAAGAAGCTGATCGTAGCCACGGGCATCACGTCGCAGGCCTATCTGCCGGACTTTGAGGGTCAGGACGCCTTCGGGGCCCCCATCTTCCACTGCCGCGACATGCAACAACACGAGCCCCAAATTTGGAAGGCTGGTGAACGAGCCACCGTGTTCGGTGGTACCAAGTCCGCGTGGGATGCGGCGTACGCATGTGCGACGTCTGGAATGCAAGTCGATTGGATCATTCGCGAGTCCGGACATGGGCCAAATTGGATGGCGCCACCCTACGTGACGCCGTTGAAGAAGTGGCTGGAGAAGCTGGTGACGACCCGACTGCTGACCTGGTTCAGCCCTTGCATCTGGGGAGATGCCGACGGATACACTCGCGCGCGGAGTTTCCTGCACGGAACGTGGCTGGGTCGCAAAATCGTGGATGCCTTCTGGGCCGTGCTGGCCGACGACGTCGTGCAGCTCAACGGCTTCGACAAGCATCCCGAAGTCAAGAAGCTGCAGCCGTGGATCAGCCCCTTCTGGATTGCCTCGTCGCTCAGCATCCTCAATTACCCAACCAACTTCTTCGATCTCATCAAGGATGGCACAATCAAGGTACACATTGCCGAACTCGACCACCTCTCCGATCACACGGTGCACCTGTCCACCGGTGAGGAGCTGAAATCTACCGCGCTCATCTGCTCAACCGGCTGGCGCGCCACTCCCAACTTGAAGTTCCTTCCGGAGGGCATTGACCGCGAGCTAGGCTTCCCCTGGAGCACCGACCCGCTGGACGAAGAGATGGTCAAGGCAGCCGATGAGGAGATCCTCCGTCGTTTCCCACGCCTACGCGATCAGCCGACGCCCAACCCCAAGTACAAGCCTCTGAACGACCAGGCCGAGGCGGCGGTTCCTCACCCATTCCGACTGGCGCGCTTCATGGTACCTCTATCGCAGGTCAAGGACCGCTCGCTCGCTTTCATGGGTATCACCATGACTATTAACACCACCATCATTGCTCAGGCCCAGGCCCTCTGGATTGCGGCATACTTTGGTAACCATCTCACTCCGACCGCCACAGAACACTGCCCAGCCGCCGTTCGTGCCGCTTCCGACATTAAAGTCGAGGACGATGCAGAGCTCAACCTGGCCTGGGAGACCGCGCTGCACTCTGAGTTTGGCAAGTATCGCTACCCTGGAGGGTTTGGTCGCCGCAACCCTGATTTCGTCTTTGACGCCATTCCATACGTTGACTTGATGTTGCGGGATCTGGGCCTGTCGCATGAGCGCAAGCAGGGGATGCTGTCTCGGTGCTTCAGCCCGTACGGCACGGAGGACTATAAGGGATTAGTGGAGGAGTGGAAGGCCAAGGTATTGAACAAGCCATGAGCGTACCCTCTCGTATTTGAATGTCCACTGGCCTGTATTTTCTTTCGTTGCAATATTTGTTTCCCCCTTCGCGCTCCCCGCGATATACCCCATCCTTATATTCTATTTCCTCGGGAGTTTTTACGGCTTTTCTATTTATTTAGGTTTACACAAAATTTATTCCACAGATCATTCTCCCAGGTGTCACCAGTCTATTGGCTCGGAACGACATGCGCTCAACGGCTTGTGTTGTGTATATGGTTTCTCCGTGGGCGAAGCTCTTCCATTATTAGCACAGTTGTTGCTCTCGATCGATAGATTATATCTGACTCCGTCTTCCATTCAAACGAATGGTTGTACCTTTTATCCCAATCTCCTTGAACAGACCAAAGTCTTTCCATGCCTTTGAATACTTAAGCCAGGGACAGTGTTTATTCCGCGAGAACAAATTGTTCAAAAATCGCACTACCAGTCAACCCAGACTCTGCAGCGCGCACCGTCTTTGTCGAGCCCCCAGAGGCATTAGTATCATCATTCTGGTCAGCTCCAGACTGACCGACTTCGCCGGTCATAGTTCCTGCCCATCTGAAATAGTACTTGCCATCCCCTGCGATGCGCGTCCCGGAGACGTTGGCTTTCAGCCAACCCTCGTTGCCGAGGTCAAACTCCAGATGGAATCCATCCGGTACATCGCCCGCCCGTGGTGGATAGCGCGCACCAGTTTCGGAGCTCCCTATAGGGCGAACAGTGAGGATACTCGAAATGCAAGATGAAACCAGCACATCACCATCACGTGCAACATAGCTGCTAACGTAGGTCGTCTCAAACGGATTATCGAGTGCCAAATAACTAAACCAGACCACCGAATACGGACCGACCTGGCCGTGACCCCAGTACCAGCTCTGAACGGAGTCTGCAAATGGTCGATCTGACCAGTTCTATTAAATTTCAGCCTCGGTGGTTCGTTTTTTGCGTAGGCAATCTTTACCTTGTCATGATACGCCGGTCCTTGGAATTGTAGACGGGAGCCCTTCACATTGATATCGACCTGACCTACTGCATCAGGCTTCAATGCAACCCATCCGATATGGGGAGCAATCTCCAAAGATGTCGTTTCGGATGTAATTCTACAAGGTAAATGAGGCCCCACTGTCTATGGTCTTGATTAGTTGTCCACGCACTCCGTGACAAACACACCATTCCCAAGGTCCACTCTCTGACTTACCGAGGTCAACCCAAGTCGCCCTTTTACCTGAAGCTTTTCGGAGGAAATTACTATTTCATACTCAGATAAATCACCCTTGAGAGCAGCCCAGCTAAACCCAGTCGACGACCAATTGCCCGCACTAGGCGAGCTCGCCCCCTCGCCACCCACAACCGTAGCAATGGTCGCCGGCACGTATTCTTGAAAAACCGTCCCATTAGCAAACGAGGCCCAGATATACGCAATCAACACCGAAGACTCGTTCGTCGGAAGCCAGGGAAACGCAGCAGCCGTCGCCGTGAAGAACGTGACAGTCAACGACTCGCGCGAGTCATTTGCCGAGACGGCATCAAAGTACCACCAGTCAAACACGGACTCATTGATAGCGCTAATCTGGGGCGCGTCGAGAGTGAGTAGTGCCTGGGTATCTAGTTTCGACCCCGTCGTAGGAATGTCGAAGCGTGCACGAACAGGGCCATTCTGGTCGTGGCTTGGGATGGCGTAGTTCCAGCTGCGCGCGGTCGAATCAAGAGGCACGTCGTCTCGTGTATTCCAGGTTCTTCCAGGGAGTGCAGACGCCTTGCCCGTGAGAATACTATAGATAGTCAACCCTGAGGAGAGGGCGCGAGTCAGTGACGCCGTAATCTGCATGTTGTGATGTATGTCGAACAAAGAAACGACCGGAGGGGGGAGAGAAAGCGAGGAGGAGAATATTGAAACAATGAAATAAGCGAAAAGGGCAAGCTATCTAGGAAGAGACTAAGAAGGGTGTCTCATTTGAACACCTGGATGAAATAAAAATTCGACGTGGTATAGTGAGATTTATATTCGCTCCAGCCTGCTACTCAATCCCCCATGACAAAACTTGCGTTCCATTGCATGTCTGCAGCTCTATAGTTGGGGACCACATCCGAGCCATGATTCGTCGATGGGTCTCCACTGGAGGTAGCAACCATGCAATAAGGTGCTCTCCGGGAAAAAGAAGCCCGTAAGCCTGACTCGCATTAAGCAACCCATGTGGCTAGCAAACCGCGTGGATCTCGGATTGATCACGGCGCCACGTCCTGATCGGGGGTCCAATAGAGTGAGACTGGGTCAGACGTAGGCCCAAGCGTGAGAGGAGGCGGCTGTCAGTGGTGAACTCTTTTTGGTGGTCTACGGAGTAGATTTGTCTAGTATCTTTCTGCTCAATCCAGTCGGGCACTCTTTGTAGGGCAGTAGGTATTGTAAAAGACGCTTCGTCAAAAAGGTAAAATCGTAGTTTCCAGACCCAAATCCACATGGCACGCATATTCAGCAGATTGCAGTTGAAGATGTACATTAACTACCCGATTAGAAATCCGAAACACTGGAGAATGGAAGATCAAATGATTCATGCACGGAGATTGCTATATACCATCGAACACCGTGGACTCGCGGTCCATTCCCGTAAAGTCAACAGTGAAATCAGGGGCTCGCTCGGTTCAAATCACAAGGAAAAACAACGATCAGTACACACGTCACACGTCAGGCTAGAAAACAGAGTAATCAAACACAAAAAAAGCGACAATATCAACCCATCCCAAGATGCCCAAACCACACACCCTTCGCCGAGAAACATGTCAAGAAGAATAAACACAAGCGGTAGTCCAAAATATAGAGAGAAAAGAATAAGGCCCGAGCGGGCAAGATCAAAGATCCCATCAAGAAGAGAAAGAAAACAACCGCCGACTCCCAATACCACTGTAGGTACACGATCCTCCATCCTCGCCCCAGGATATACATACACGGGGTGGGGGCCTCGATGGTACGTGAGGAGTCGAATCGGATCCATTATGCCACAGGGATGCAAAGCATAGTCCATAAAATCGCTTAGTTACGCCCATTGATCACGGGGCTGCCGTCTTCACTCCGGCCTTCGCCCTTGATCGTCCCGTCGGTGCCGGTCTGATTACTGATCGCATCAGAATCACCATCTTTGCCGCAGCCTTTGACCAGGATATGTCGCTGAAAGACAACGAGTTAGTTATAAAGAATCGCTAATCGGGTTTTGGCGTTTCGCAAAACGTACCTTCAATGCGTCCTTGCGCGAGAAGCTCTTGTCACAGTGTGCGCAAGGGAAAGGCTTCACAGCGAGGTGAATCCGCTTATGGCGCTTCAGGTCATGATTCCGGTTGAAGCTCTGGGGGCATTGATCACACTTGAATGGTCGGTCGGCGGTTGGACCGGGCATACCATGGTGGGCTACCGGGTGAGCTCCGTAGAGATGCTGCGTGTTGGCGATGTGTCCACTATTGAAACCAGGCAGAATTCCCGATTGCATTCCTCCCATCATCGACATGGGACTATTCGGGCTGTGGACGTTGGTCATGATGGGACCAGACATTGCGGGGAGAGAATAAGACGGCCAATGCTGGCGAGGGAAGCTCAACGGAGGCTGGCCGCCGGGACTTTGAAGAGGCATGCGCGAGCCCGGGTGAATTCCAAGGCCTCCGTGGCCTCCAATAGGATTGGGGCCGGTGTAGATGGGAGAGAATCCGGTCTGATGGTTAGGAGAGGCGTAGAGAGAATGCATCTTCTGATTATAGGGGTCATTCGATGGCAGAGATGCAGTAGATGCAGTATGGCCGGAGTGATAAAGGCCCATGGTGACTGAATGAGGACCGGGAGCAAGGGTAGTGGATGGCGCGGGGAGGGCTTGCGAGAAAGACGCCATGGGAGGCGCTTCAAATGGCTGAGACAGCCCATCGCTCGTAGGTGGGGACGTGACTTGTCCTGAACGAGTCACACCGGAGGGAGAAAAGGAACTTCGTCCAGAGTAAGCGGTATGATGTCCCGCTGCCCACTGGCCTGGCCCGGTTCCCTGGGCTCCGTACGGAGTGGTACCAGGCCAATATGCCGGGGGCATATCGGAGGAGACCCCAGATGACTGGGGCAACGAGTGAGAGATGGTCCCCGTTTCCCCAGACTGATTCGTCGCGGGGGGCGTCAATAAATTTCCCACGCTCACATTCGCCGGGGGATGCGACAGGGGTGGTTGATTAGAGTGCTGGGTTTGATATTTGGGAGCCGCCGCGCCCGTCAAGCCGAACGGTGGTGGCGGCAATTCAAAGCTGGGCAGCGTTGGGGCCGCCGGGCGACGGGAGTTGATCGGCTGGGAAGAGAGGCCGTCCAATGCAGTCCCCATTCCGGGCGCAGGTACTGCTGGAACTGTGAGAGCCGCCATGTTGGCCGATGGATCTCGTGGGCCACCCGCGTACAGATCGGCGTCCGAAAGGGAAGAATGAAGATTGGAGGGCAACGGCCCAGCAAATGAATGACCGGGGTTCAACGTCCAGTCTCGACCGCCAGGAAGGGCCCCCGAAGGGCTCGAAGAATCCAGGAGGGGCGAGCTGTCGATCGCTGGGGGTCGCGATCGGATGAGAAGAGTCGGAAAGACTCTAGTCGATCTCTAGCCGCGATGTGTGTGGGGGGGAGGGGNGAGGGGGGGGGGGCGGGCAAGTATGTTGCAGACAGGCGACAGACAAAACGAAGTCGGAGAGGCGGGAGGATTCGAGATATCTTGTCGCAGGTTGACCTTTGATACTCGGGGAGGTGAGGCGCTGTGTATAACCTTTGCGCGTGGAAAGCTCACGAAGAGCAGAGAGGGAGAGAGAGATAGAGAAGAGGGGAGTCAAGAAGGGGAAGTCAGTCGCGGGAAAGATCCGCGCAGCGGCGGGAGGAAAGGAAGATGAAGAGATCACGGTCGAGGATAGCGCAAGTGGTGCATGATCTCTAGGAAGGAAGAGTCGCGCGGCTCAACTATACGGAGGTTGGGAAGAAGAACGAGCCGGAGCTGGAGAAAAGAGATGGTGGTCGAGTCGAGTAGAGCCGATCAGCAGGAGGCCGTCGCAATAGGAGCAGCGATGGTAGTGATAAGTAGTGATAGTAGTAGCAGGAGAGAGGGAGAGAGAGGCGAGTGGGGAGGGAAAGAAGGATAAGCCGTGGCGTTGGGGAGGCGCAGAAGCGCGGGGAGGAACAGGAGGAAGGGTTATTATATAACGTGGCTAGGGAACGGTTCAGGTCGAGAGGACTCCGGTTTAGGAGGCAGTGATTGGGATTTGTTTTCGAGTTCCAGAGGCGAGGAGAGAAAAAGGAAGGAAAAAAGAAATCCTAAAAAAGAAAAAGACAGGTGAGAACAAGCGAGCAGAACGACAGGAAGCAGACTAGCGGACCGGTAGGACGGGGCGGATTAAGGGCAAATAAAGTAGGCCTAGGAGACGAGTAGGTTTTTTAATTTTCTTTTTTTTTTTTTCCAAAAAGTGTATCAAGAGGCCGAGTCGAGGAATTAGACGCAGCGAGAGAGAGAGAGAGAGAGAGAAGGGGGGGGGAAATAAGAAGAAGAATAAAATAAATAATAATAATAATACCGTTGGCACTTGTATGGGAGGGCCCACGTCCACGAGAGAGAGAGAGAGAGAGAGAGTCGAGAGCGCAAAAGTAAAAAAAAAGGGTAAATAACGGGGGACCCGAAAGAATGGGAACGAGCAATGAGAGGAATTGGGACGAAAGGAATTATGGAGCCACGGTCGGCGACGGTCTGGCCAGCGTGGGGATCAAAGTCGGGAGTTTGGGGTGGGAAACGGAGAGGGAGACTGAACTGAACCATTCGGGATCGCAGTGGGTTGGCAAAGGAGAACGGTATGCTTTGTCGACCTTTCCAGTCAATGCAGCTCGTTACCGATGAGAAATGGCCAGGTCTACCGTCTATTGTCTACCGTCTATTGTCGCGGCATAAGCGTCATCCGGTCAGTCTTGTCAGCGTCTCGTCCCGTGATCTCGGAGTTCTTGAAAAAAGACGGCATCCAATTTTGGTTGATAGACTGATAGAGCGGTTACGGAGTATACGTATGCCCTGCAGAACTATTGAATCAACCAGATAGCGATGCCTAGGGCGGACTCCGGGAAATGTATGTGCATGAGACGGGAGACCAAAACTCGATAGATCCCAACGGGAGAAGACAATGGGTCCCTCGGTAGTGACGGGAGGCGGTCGATGAACCTATACTGGACAGGGTCTACGGGAGTACAAGATACTGCATGTGCATCACGATCACGATCACGGAGCGCAGAGGGATCCCAAACCGAGCGTAGGAACGAAAAAGGTCCTAGGAACTCACAGACCCGCGACGGGGGGCGAGGACCAAGAAAGAGGGGCAAAAGGCAACGTGGTTGACAGGCCCTAATCGACCTACCGCGACCCAGTGAGAGACCCAGTGATGGACCCGGAAAGAGGTCCCAGACACCTCGCCAGTATCCAATGACCACCTCGTATCGCATTCTGCTGGACCCCCCCTTCGACCAACAGTCCCCAGCAGTCCCAGCAGTCCCTTGGCAACGATTTAGTCCCCTCCTGGAGCTCACCCTCGCCTATCCGTCTCCGGTTGGCCGTTCCGACCTGAATCGAGATCGTCTCTGTATCACTCGATCGTGATCGCCACTGGAGGGCGAACAGAAAGGTGGGGGGAGACTACTGCTGCTGTTCTTCATAGATCTGGAGTACCGTGCGAATCTCTGTCTCTCTCTTTATGACACCTTTCAAACAGAAATGAAGCAAAAGGGACACCAATTACTTCTTCTATTTCATTTTCCTATTCTTAATTATGCTGGAGGATTTAGCACTTTTTTTAATTAAACCGGAGAGGAGGAGAGGGGGAGAAAAAGGGGGTCCCTGTTCCGTGAGAAAGCAAGCGATTGGAAAGCTGAGTACCGTAAAGGGCTTCGAGATTAATACGGGATATATTAAAGATGGAGAAGTAGTAATCTATCAAGATCGGGAGCAAGACGGAGGGGCCAATCATGCCCCAACCATCCCGTAGCAGACTCGTCGTTGACAGGCGACTAACTGCTGACTGCGTGAGAGAGAGAGCGCGTCGAAGAGGGAGGCTCTAGGTATCTTTGGTGTATTTCCTTTTCCGTTTCGCTCCCTTACGTCCGGACTGATCGCGTGAAAAGAATAAGAAAAAACGAAATGCAGAGCCAAAAATGGTCGGCGCTAGCGTAGGGACTTCCGGAGACAAAATCTATTCTGGTCCACTCTCCGGCTTTCGCCCGGCTTCGAGAGAGAAAAAAAAAAAGAACGATAGGAGAGACGAACAACCGATGGCGGAGTCCGGAGAATTGATGAGGCAGGGCTCTTGTACGGAGTACTCTAATTGTCTTCTCTGTACCCATAGTACGGTGAATTGGCACTAAACCAATCTGCCACAGAATGAGTTACCCAACTATGGGAACTTGATACTATAGACGTGTACGGAGAGTACGGAGTACGGAGAAGGGAGGGGCGGGGGGAGGAAATCATGGCCAGTCACATTTCACGCAGTGAGATTCCAGCCCAATTGAACTGCCCCCCCCCCCATTCTCGCTCTCTCGAGAGCCATGGGAACACCCAATCGAGCGCGTGTCAGGAGGACGCACGGACTGGGCCGGAATGGCCAGAATACGAGCCCATGGGAGAGTCTGGAGCTGCTGCCGGCAGAAGGGTAGAGACAAGCGAGCTGTGAGGCCCATCATTCGTCCGTTACGACTAGCCTCCCGCACGCGATGGCAAATGGAGTTTAGTGCCCAGGCTTTCAGTTCCCTTCATGCCGGGTCATCTGCAAAGCTTTTTTTCGCCCCCAACAGCCGAGGAAAGGGAGCGAGGGGAATATAGGGCGGAGCTGAGAAATGGGAGGGGGAGGTGGACGAGCGAGACGAGAAAGAAGCATTAGATGTTGAGAATCATCGGGTTGGGACGAAAACTCCGAAAATAAATTAAATTAGAAAGAAAAGAAATCTCGCTCGGCAGGGGACCTACTTGATTGGTCCCCGGGTTCCCCGATGCTCCTTTTCCTCCCCCTCGAAGCTCGTGAACTAGGTTTTTTTTTGCTATCGCGATGGATAGGAGTATGTAAGTTTTCTGATATGCCTTCAACCTTCATGACCACAGTGTCCGGAGGACTAGTCAACAACTCCGTAGTATGGCAGTGCCGGACTCTTTTTTATGTCCCGCTTCTTTTTGTCGGTGAAAAGTCTTTCTCTGCCAACGGTTGTCTTCCATTTTCTGGGTCGAGTCTCGGGTTCCATGTCTGGGAGCTCTTGTCCACGTTGCAGCTCCTTCGTGCTGGACTGGTATTCAAAGAAATCCCGTCCAATAGACGGAGTACGACCAACCCATACCGTCATTCCCCTCTTATTCGGTTGAGTCGATGACACGGTTTCCTTGGCACAAAATGATCATTCTTAATAGATCAGTTTACTATATTTTTCATCATATTCTCCTCCGTACTTCCATAACACTGTCTGTACGACTTAAAAAGTACGGAGTACTATACAGGAGTATACTCGCATAAAGTTCGCCTCTGGGGTCGACCTAGTCCCCGTCCCGGTCACCAGGATCCCATCTACCGTGGCACTCATTGGCAGTGCCCAGCCTCACAAGTGATGATAAACTCCAATCGCCATGCGCTCCAGCTGGTCGGGCCCGGTCTGGTCACCGCGGCGCGTGCGATCGGGGTGGCGTGCGGAATGGCTCGTTCCCCCCTTAATAACTGGGTCCGGAGCATCTCCACACGAGTCACGGTCCCCGTGCATGTCCTGGTCGCTTCCACGGACCAGTCGCAACGTTTGTCTTATCGGCCAATAGACGGGTGGCGATGACATTGGCTTGCCGGGAATAAGCACGGACACGCCTTCTTTTGACAGTTTGCTGCAAAGCGAACAGGAAAAGGGTGTGGAGGGGGGAAGAGGTGCCCGAGGAAGGTTAACGGCCAGGCCCTGTCGATCGATATGCAGACAGACCTTAATTATGTATGGAGTACGGAATCCAACGTTTTAAACTAACTGGTCTCTTTCTTGATTCTTGACGGAGTTCCGAAGTACAAATCACTATCGCGAATCTGCATGTACAAGTATTCGGAATACGTTTCAAGTTCTGACTTTGTGACTAGTGACTCCAGTGATTCCTAAAGTGGAGCCTATCGAGACCGCTTCTTTGAACATCCTAGACAGAGAAAAAGGAGAAAGTTAAATTGAGCAATGAGGGATTAGGAACGGGAGTCAGCCGTGACAGACATATAGAGTGGGAAAAGCGAGAATGGGAAAAGAAATGACCCATTGACCGAGACCCCCTCTACCCCCTCTCTTCGTTTACCAAAGCCCTTGATTGGTGAAGAAGGATCGAGGGGGGAAAGAAATGTCTGGCTTGTTCGTTGTAGACTTCGCTTCGGGATATACAGTACAACAGTTACCCCAGGATGGCGGAGTACACATGGACGGAGTACGGACGACTTGCCGACCTTGCTGCCGTACGTACTGCGTGGACTACACGGGGGGTTCACGATCGGGGCTGCGGTCTCGTTTTTTTTTGCCTCTTATCCCTTTCGTCTCCGGTCAAGCTTACAATAATGCATCACTCATCAATTACCTCGGAACGGTCAAGTGGGTGGTAATAACAAGAACAAATGAGGATCATTTTTCATTTTGTACTTACCCTGTAAGATGACCCAATAATGGCCACGAATAAGAAGTCAGAGAGAGAAGAGAAGGAATACGGAAGTCAACTAAAGGGACCATGAAAGATGCCAAGGTCACATTCTTAGAATCCCACATGCCTCCGTGTCGTTGTCTTACAATTCGGGCCCCCTTCGGTGATGAGTCTAGCGAAATTGGGTACGGAGAAGGGGTGCCGGAGACAAGGCACCATTGCAGAAGGAGCGCCCGCATTCAGTACTACGGTCGGAGCACTAGTCGTTCTCTAGTCGTCTACCGCGTCCATCACTTTGCAATGGCGTGAGATGGAGGTCTTACTTCGTTCAGGAACGCTACTCTATGCTCCGTCTCTGGGTGATAGCTTAGAATACCAAGCATTCTAACAACGCGTGGTGGAAAACCCACGCGTCTGACCAGTGGTAACAATAGTATAACGACCAGCCAGTAAGAATGAGGCACAGAATTCTATAATCCGAACAGCTCCTCCCGACCTTCAACCGAGACGATTCAAAGCATCAACTGGCGAACTAAGCGCTCCTAATCCTCCTCCCCCTTCCATGTCGCCGCCACCACCAGTAGTCTAATGCGTCGATCTCGGCCACCTCAGCCTTGAAACCCCCCCAAAGATCGATCGTCTGGGCTCAGGCGGGGGCGACAAAGAACCACTGCCCGACGATGGTTCGCAGCCGATTTGCCGGTGATCCTCAGCCTTCATGCAAGGCGGCTTTGGTGGTGCAAATGTGACAGTGCGCGAGTGGATCCAGGACGGGAATGGCTCTGTCGTGGGTACGTTGGTCGTTGGTCGCCCGTTCGTCGTTCGTCGTTCGCTGTACGAGATGTAGTGGTGGGCTCAAGCCATGCGATCGTCGTCGGTTCGTGCCGACGTGGCTGCCCGGGAAGGCGTTCACGGCGTCCCACGCCAGACGCCCACTGATCGAGAATAGTGCCCTCCTGGTGTGTCTGGCCCGGAAGTTGACCGAGCTAGCCCGGTCGGAAAGGTCGGCCAACTCGGAAGATCTGCATTCATGAGGAATAAAGTCTGCGGGGCTGATAGGAATGTTGCGAGGGCCGAGACTCTTGAGTGCAGCTGGTCTACAGGATATGCATGGACAGTATGTACATGGACAGTATGTACTCCGTACGGTTTACATATCTACGATGGCCCCGTCCCTGACCATTACCTACGGGCAAAGATACCGACCTACTCTGGACCAAACAGCAAGAGTGGAAGGATTTGACGAAATTCTAACTAGTGGGTCTTTGATTGAATCATGTTTCACTTGTATGTGAATTAGTCGATATATACTTTGGTTGTTTTCCGATCGAGTCAATGCTGCACGGCATCTCAGCTGGCCAGACTTGCAGGAGCTGAGCCGCACAAATTGTCCAAGGCAAGATGAGAGATCTATTTATCGGCTCCATTTAAGAACATGGACGGCTAGCTGCAGGTGGAGGTAATAGAAGAAATCGAGTCATTCATTTTCGATCATCTCCACGGATACACAAAGCGCGTGGGATGACCGACGGTCGTGCAACCATGCGCCGATGCAAGGCCACTTTGTTCGATAGATCGCAATAATTGACCACTTTGTTGAGACCTCACTGGATAGTTCCATTTACTTTGTCCACGCGCACAATCACACTCGACCATGTTGTTCTGGAATGTCAGTCGACAAGTCTCCTTTGATCCATTCAAATACTTTCGATAATTCCTTTTCTATAGTTCCACCACACTAGTTCCTCTATAGACAGTGGATGATGTAGCTAATTTGTAAACTAAAGGTCATTGGACATCTTGGTTTAAATTTCTGTAATGAACTTCCAAATGCCTTCCAAGCGACCTGCGACCTCATGTTAGTAATTTTTAGGTGGTACTGTGCTAGTGTGTTCAAACAAGGATAGCTCTTTAGTGGACCGAAGTATATATTACGCACCCATCAGCCAATTCCGCCCATTTGAACCACCTCAACTTGAATTAAATACCCCAAACTTTCCCAGGTGGCAAATATGTCAAATTCTAGATCATAAAGAGCATAGCATTGCTCTAACTTTATGGTCGCTCTGGGTAGGATTCCGGAGGGATCCTGCTTCTTCCGTTTGAATAGCCGACACTCCGATGACGTCGACTGGCGGGGTAACCCCCCAACTTCCGCTTCGATCGCAAAACATCACGACTGCTTCACCTCCCTCAGCTCTTTAACCACCTCAATTGCTTGCTCAATTGGTACGTGATAATAACCCCCATGACCAAGAAATATCTACTTATACCTAACAAGCCAACCCTTTAGTAGCCCCTCGCTTCGAAATACCCTCATCCCCTCACCCATTAATTACATCCTCGGCAAAAATGTCTGGAATCAGCAAAGCGTGCTGCTCGTTCGTTTCCCCCATGCGCGCCTTTGCAGGATGACAGGCAGCTTGGCTGACTCGTCACAGAATCCCACCCGTCGTATCCAAAGGATACCAGGCCAAGGGTGCTTACCAGACCATCAATGGCCTGAAGACCTGTGAGTGAGATGAAGATAATGCGCCGGAGGAGAGGTTCTGAAAATAGAGCAATTTGGGACTGATTCTCTCCCCCAGATGTCACTGGCCCCGAGTCGGCCACCAAGGCCATTCTCGTGGTGTACGGTAAGCGTGATCTCTCACACAATTCCAAGATCTAGGACCTACGATTGGCTCACCGTCTTCTGATTTCTGACGCCCAGATATCTTCGGTTTCTTCGATCAGACCATTCAGGGTGCCGATATCCTGGCTACCTCGAATGAGCAGAAATACCGTGTCTTTATGCCTGATTTCCTCGAGGGCAGCCCCGCAGACATCTCCTGGTACCCCCCGACCACTGATGAGCACAAGAAGCTCCTCGGCAACTTCTTCTCGACCCAGGCCGCCCCGCCCAAGACCCTGTCCAAGATCCCCAACATTGTAGCCGAGGCGAACCAGCTCGCACCCGGCGGTGCCTTCTCGTCTTGGTCCATCCTGGGCTTCTGCTGGGGTGGCAAGATTGCTGCGCTATCGGTGGGTGCCGACAATAAGCTTTTCAAGGCGGCCGCTCAAGCTCACCCTGCGATGGTCGACCCCAACGACGCAAAGAACGTGAACGTGCCGTTCGTGATGTTGGCTTCCAAGGATGAGCCTGCGAGCGATGTCTCTGCGTTCAAGGCTAACTTGCAGGTCCCCAATCACGTCGAGACCTTCTCGACTCAGATCCACGGCTGGATGGCTGCTCGCTCGGACCTGGAGGACCCCGAGGTGCGTAAGGAATACGAGCGTGGCTACAAAACGGTGCTCGAGTTCTTCCACCAGCACTCTTGATTGTGAATAGGAATGGAGACCACATGGACGGTGGCACCGAACGGGGGTGAAAAATAATTTACCTGTCCCTAATGAAATTGAAATCCATAGTTCTGTATGAGTACCCGCTATACATGCGTGCTTGTATATACTCGATCTCGCATGAAGGAACATTGAAACGATCTTCCGATCTTGCCTGCGTAGTGCAAATAAGCCATCGCAGCAGTGTAAACTCTTACACTCCTTAATCGTCATGATTGGTTTGAAGGAGTACAGTATGGCACAATTTAGGTATATCATGTTCTATTTAGTTGAACATAATATACAGTGCCAGTTCACAATGTTGATACTATAGACCAGAGAACTGGTCCAACCAGATATGTTTCTTCCTACCCACCTTGCTTTTTTTTTTTTTTTTTTTGGAAGATGGATATATGATGTAGATGCATGTTCCATTTTGTCTCTCGTTAGGCTCTGTCATTCTTTCCACCTTATGGAACTTCACTGTAGAGTACATCTGCTCTCCGGCGTGTTTACGTCGGACAAGTCTCGGGAACTCCGCTTTTCCGAGTTGCCGTCACATCCACCGTCCAACCCCGAAAGAGATTCAAGATCCGCACCGTGCCGAGGGACCCGAAGATCAGCGCGCTGAATCCTACCTTATTTTGAACGGCTCGATATATAATGTAAAGGTCGTTCTGACTTTCTCCTGCAACTTGAGACCTCTGCACCTGTCGTGGTTTGAAAGCCTCTTGGTGAGAGTGGCCTGAAAGATTTCGCCATTCGATGGTCTGACGTTCGCGGGGATCCTCTGATGTCATTCATTTTTGGACGTCGCCGGTCGCAATCAGACGCGGCCACTGACCACGCTGATGTCGACCTCAGAAAATCGAGTCGAGAGTGTCCTTCACCATCGGGCACTCATCGGGGTGAGGCGACCGATGTGGGAATCCTTCATGGCTTATTTCGCAAGCGCAGCGATAGCGCGGTGTCATTAGATTCGACCAAGGATGCCGAGAAACAGGCAAGCCTCTCCGCTGGGACATGTTAGTATTTACCACTAATCAACGCTCAGAGTCGAGCTAAAGGACTGCGACAAGATACCAAGGGCATTCCAGTACGGGAAAAAGGTCGCGATGCGAAACGGCGAGGATCTAGAGGCTCTACTTCCAGTACTTCATCTGGAGGAGGAAACCCCGAGCCCCCTTCTGCAACGGTAAACTGCGAACCCAAACAGCCGGGGAACATTCAAGACTACCTGGACTATCGACTCGAGAAGGCAGGTCTGCCGGACGATAGTACTGATCCGAAGGTCTCCTCGGAGCATGGATCGGTTTTAGCGAAGAAAGATGTCAAGGCACTTTTTTCTGGGGCACCTCATTTCATGCTGGAGCGAGGCAAGCATGGTCGCTGGTACCCACAAGTCATCTTTCCCTGGGATGACCAGAATCCTTCCATCCAACGCATGTTAGATCGCAAGCCCCTCGCTCATGCATCGTTTACATTGTGTACGTTGCATGCTCATCTACCAGTTCCCGACGACTGGGCTGTGAAAGGTGGAGTTCCTATCCCTCTGCAAGACTGGCGTCGGACGGGGGCTTTTAAAAGAGCTGCCTTCGACGTTGGAGTCTTTGAAGTTCCGAACATGTTGGGAAACAATGGCAAGGAGCCAGGCACGATCGGGTTTCGCAATTTCCTGGAGCTTTCGAACGCAGACATCCTAAGATACACCGGGCCCGAAGCACCCAGAGAGTCCTTTAATATGCAACGGGTCTCGTCACTTCCTGCTATCGAAGCGTTTGAGCTAATGGATCAGTATAACAAAGCATATTCTCAGTGTCTTAGTGGCGCCATATTCGACCGGCGCAAGCTCATCAAGGATGGCCCAGCTGGATGGAAGCGCATTGGCGTACGAGATGTCAATCTCAGATACCTCGTCCAGCGACTCGACCAATTACGACAGTTGCGCCTCGATATACTCCGGCAAGGGTCAACTATCACTATTCTGGATGTTGAGTCACCGCACGAACTACATAATATTCTGCATACACACTTCCTCCATCCTCACCCACCTCCCGCAGATGTGCTGCCAGGTCATCCGCAAAGCCTGAAATCCCAGATAAAAACATTAGCAACGGTCCTAGCAACCCCGGGGGCCTGGATTGATTTCAGCCTGCCAGAGTGGCGATTCCGCGCCGGTCAAATTCTATGGGAGACTCCTCCCCATGGAGATGGAGATTGCGTGGAGTGTAATGAGTGCTCTTCAGGGACACCCAAACAACCTTGGGTTAATTCTGGAATGGAGCGAAAGTGGCTCCTAATTCAGATTCTCCTGGCTGCAGAGCTTCTGTTCCGTCTCGATGCTTTCCTTCGCGTAAGTATGTTGCATGATCCGCACGGAGGCATGGTCACGGCGCAGGAGCTCCATCATTTCGATCAACTTCGAGAGGGAAAAGTGAACTGGGATCTCATCTTTGTGCGCCGCTTCCTTGACAATCTCGATATCACTTGCGATTCGGCTCCATCCTCGCCGGCCGGAGGTGGTAGCTCGTCATCGTCATTAATTGAAAAACGACCTACGAAACCTCGTCGCTTTGCTCTTCTCGATTCCATCACTCGCCGCATTTCGTCTACGCAGGAAGCCGACGTGCGGTCTGCTTGGGATTGTCATATCAGTTCCCCGTATGTACGGCAACAGCTTGAGGGCTTGTATGTCTTTGCGGAGAACATTGGTTGGCCGAAAGTCGGCGCTCTCAGATCCCACTTTGAACAGTTATGTCAAAGTGGAAAGGACTTGTTCACTCCTGTGGTGAATGCGGATGACCCATTCGGCCACGGGACAAAAGCTGAAGAACCTAGCAAGACTGCCCCTGTGAAAAACGATATGTACACCCGCAATTGGTGGCGTCGCTGCGTCAAGCTGCGAAGTTTGTCTAGCGAAGACAAGGACCCGCATGGAGCTGAGGTCCTTGGCTGGATCTCTCGAAGCTGGCTCTCAGGTCTCGTTATTCCTGGCGAGGCAATTTGCCATCTTCTGATTGGGACGCTACTAGAAAATGACGCCGATGCGATTGAACAACTTGGGCCCACAGTAAATCTCTATGGCGGTTTTGTCTACGATGGTCGCAGCTACTGGAGCAAGGCTAGTATTGTGGGACGTGTTCTATCTAGCCTAGATGAAGCCAAGACTTGTATGGGCTGGGTGGGCAGCGATATGCTTCCTCGTGACGAGACGACCTTTGAGCCACTGTACGACGGTTGGCTCGAAGTCCCCATGCAAAAAGCCCTCCGCGGCCCTGGAAAGGCGCGTATCAAGCAGGGTGGGAAATTGGCAATGGAGTCGACGCCGCTCGGAATGGGAGATATTACCGCAGATACATTTACGTTGCCGGTCGATCGACTTGCATCTGCGTCTACGCTGGAGGTGAAACTGATCCAGTTGACCTTGTCGGTTCGCTCCCAATGCAAGCGAGGCATTACGGTCAGCGAGCAGGCGGCGTTATCCTTCTCTCTTCAGAGGGCAGACGCGCCATCCCCGACTACGGCCTCGTTCCTGCTGAGTTACAACGTGCGCTTCGTTTCCGCCCATGAGTGTCGGCGACCACGAGGGGTTGCTGCCCGCCATAGGGACTGTTTAGGCCCTGGTGACAAGCAGCAGCAGCAGCAGCAGCAGCAGCAGGAGGAGGAGGAGGCGGCGGCGACACCTCACTGGGACCAGTTCAAGCCTCTTCCCGGTCATCCGCTACACCGGTCATTCCGATACCAACATGTTTCCCTCGACGCTCTCCCACAGTACCCCGCACCAGCCCCCACGCTCGATGGAAACCCGGAGATTCTAGTTATCGATGCGCGCGGATCTCGAGTGAAGGAGACATTTGCACGGGCATGGTGCGCCTCCGTTGGCTGCCATGCTCTGATCGGTCGCAAGGGGAGGACGTGCGTGGCATGTTGTGTGCGGGAAGCGAGGGCAATCGATGTACCGGTGGTGGTGCGAGTGGGCGACTGAGCTGGTCGAGGAGAACCGAGCATCTGCGACCTTTGATCTGCAATCGGTGGAGCTTGGTAAGTGTTTTGAGGGCAGCTGCATACCGTCATCTCGGGTCTATCGAGGCCAATAGAGGGGGTTCTCTGACAGTCATGAGTGATGATCAATTCCCCATCTCGTGTGCATTTTCCGCGGTGGCAAACACATTGCCCGGGGCTGAGGAGCATGAGCAGCAGCAGCAGCAATTGAGGCTGTGGGGTTCACGATATGCGCGAATTCGAACAGGGCCCCGCACTCTGGCTTTTTAGTAATGTATAAAAAAATAGTATGGTATAGGATTTGAAATGATAGGAAAGGGGGGATATCTTCAAACTCGCTGTGTACTGTCCATGTAGTGTCGAAAGGGACACGCCTCGCTGAGGGCATGCGAGTACTGTGATGTCGTACTTTGTCTTGAAGCGAAGCTGCTATCATCAGCCTCAATCTCCACCGCCCAGCGCGTTCTCTCGAAGGAATTGATGATAGCTGACTTCATTCGTCAGGTGAGCAACCCTGCATCAGCCATAGTACCACATTCAGCGGGGTCATGCCCCTTTTGAGGAAATGCAATGGCGTTTTTGCGGCCTTTTGATTTATCTATTTTTTTTTTATTTCGTTCTACTATCGCGGGCCCCCTGGCCTGCGTAGTAGTGACATGGGAAAGCAGACGTTAGTGAATATTGTACATAAAAAAGAAAAAAAGACAGGGCGTTAGATTTCCTAGCGGCTAACGAATAGCCGGGGGAATTGACTATGATCGGAATCGGTCGCGGAAAATGCTTCGAGAAGGAGTGGGGAAGGGGGCTGAGTAGTGTAGGCTTCGAGAAGATCCTAGGACTTTCTCGCAGAATTACCACCTTCTGCTTCGGCCACTATGAACCAGAAAGAACCAAAGACGTCAAAGCACAGTGGTCTCCATTTGATAGGGAGGCGAGCGAATGAGGGAAAACGGAAGAGGGAAATTTTCTGGTGACTTTGGGGGGACGCGTCAGGCAGGTTGCAAGTTAAAAAAGGAGGACCCATACCAAGCAGCCGAGCATGGCCGAATAAGGTCAAGGGCCCGAAGATGGTGAAACGACTAAAAGGGGGGAGTCCACCACTGAGATCGGATTACCCGGAACACTGTAACATGAGATCTGAATTCCGATGTGATTTTAATTTATCGGGCTGCTCCATACGGAGAACGGTTGAGATTGACTCCGTGTTTAGTAGTTGCACGGAACTATAGGCACACGATCCATGCACTACTGACGGACTACCGTGAATATGCCAGTGGAGCCATCGAGTGTGTAGACCGTAGTACACATAACGGATGGCTCAAGAGGAAGTTAATTATGGTGCTCAATACGAGGATCTCCACCTACTGAGGGTGATCAGTGGTATGTGTGATCAGAGCCACGATCCCGAACCATGGACGACTCGATCAATAGCTCAACAAAACGTGGTCAATAGCCATAAGCTTAATTCCGAGTCCATGGGCAGATGATACGGCGGATAATGGTACTATAGTGGTCGCTTATGTTGGAAAGGGTTGGTTTTTTTTTTTTTTTTTTTCTATTACCGCCGTTGGGAATATGTTCTAGGCTTTTTCAGACTTATGATAATTATAGCACGAAACAGGTGGTAAATGTCTATCAAATATCGGAGAAGGATCAAAATAAGGCTATGATGATACAGCCCAATCCCTTCTCACTGCTGCCCAGCTTAAATTTGGCTTATCATTGATTCTCCTAAATCCTAAAGGGCATTGCTGAACTCATCTCCGAACACTGAGACCAGGAACTACCCTCAATGAGGTCAGAAAGCTGCATATCCAACGGGCACAATAATCCAAAAGAGGGGGATGTCCGAAAGGATGCGCAGTTGAGGATGCAAAGTGCCCAACTACTCTCTGCGAGCTATTCCATATATGGATGACAGTGCAGAGCCCAACATAAGCTCGTAATCGGACTAGCATCGTCCGTAGACTCAAGGGCCAGAACAGGAAAAAGCCGTCGTTGTCCCCCAGGTCGGCCCTTGGCGTTGCAGGATGCACAAAATCCCGGAAAGCCCTGTCGGTACTTGATTTTGGCAGGCAGAGATTATGGTCGCATACTAAACCAGGACTAGCTTAGCGGGGGAAGAGAATATAAGAGAATCAAGACCAAGGCTGACGCTGGCGTTTGGCGTTTTGACTTTTGGGCTAATGGCAGTTGGCTGGCGGCCAGCTGGGTAAAGTGATCTAGCGCCAGACTGGACACCGGAAATTTACTGGGAGAAAATGTGGTTCTCTGATATTCGGCATCGCTTAGCCAAGCGTAGACACTCTGTACTCCGTAATCCGTACACTAGGAGAAGAATGTTGGGCGTACTCCGTACTCCATCAGGACCCAAACATACGTTCAAAGTATAAGCTCTTTCTCTCGGCACCCATAACGTCCTAGGAAGGACACTATGAAGTTGCTTGAACGAAGTTGAGAACGCACTACATCCGATGACCATGCTTCGGATTCCATGCTTCGGACCTTTTTCTAGTCCCTGTCTCCAAATCAGAAACACCAACGTCTAAGACCTGAGCCAGCGTTGGACCCTTGTTTCATCGTTCCGATCGACAGATGTCGGGTGGATTCATCCAATCTCACCCAGACCAAGGCCCGCCTCCTTTTTCCGGTCTCTCGTGGGACAAGTTGTGTACATAGTTGTCTGTATGAAGATGGTTGGTTCCCCCCCTCCCTCAAAGTGCATTTTGTCTGCTTCAAAGTACCAAAGGGAGTACAGTATATACTGAGTGAGACCATGTTCTTATCGCATGGGCATGGCTTCCTGTATGGGCGGATGTTCTCCCTTCTTATTCTCCATTCTCTCAACCACAGGGACTTAGTGCTAGATCTGTTTCAATAAACAAGTCCGTATGCGGAGAAAGTGGATTACATGGGGCATACCATGTACGGTTATCTCTGTACTGCTGGGTTTAATTTGCATCGCGTGCTCGATACTCGCCGCGTCAACACATGTGGTCGCCTCTCCTGACTGGTAGTTCAACTGATGTACGCTGACCTCTTTGGGTGTTGCTTTTACCGGCGCCCAATAAGACTTGGAAATGTCCTCTCCAGAGGTCCGCGCTCGTCGATCTTTTACCTGAGTGCGTCGAGTACGCCGAGTGTGAGGAGACGTTGCGGGGCTAATTGGGATGCCTGTACGGAGTACCTGAGTGTCGGAATACGTCCTTTGCCCCTTCAAAGGGGGGATCGAGCCACGGTGTCATTACTCCCACTTAAACTCCATCTACACCAGAGGCAATGGCGCAACGAAGGAAACGCCGCAGAAGCGTGTCTTGCAGGAAAATGGTGATGATTGGCTTCTTTGAGGAGGAAGCGGTGGGCTACACACCGTACCGTGAAGATCATGTCCACAAGCCCACTGTCCAAAGCAAATTAGAAGAGTCAAACTACTCTCATAAAAAAGCCACGCTGGCTGGGACACGTTTCAACTTTTACCAATAAAGCAACCGAGAGTCAACTCTACGAACGAAGACGTGGGAACGGTGGCTATAGCCAACCCCCTTTTGGGCCTAACGATCTATAGACGTCATTTAGTAGTTACACTCCATACTCCATGATCTTTAACGGCATTATTTTTTGTCGGCTCAATTTCGGTTCATTACGGACCGAACAAGTGAACAAGTTTAACAATAGTTGAAAGTGAGAGTCCGAGAGCCCTCGTCAGACTTTCATCCTCTATCGCCATGGTGCGGTTGCGCTGGCTCCATCGCTGATCGCGTCGGAAGGACCCAACCAACAGGTTGGACTGCCGCTCTTGGTTGGATGGCCGGGCCTAGTTCGTAGAAATTTCCCTTTCTAAACCCAATTTGCGACCCCCATGGAAGCTCGCTTGAAGCTTCGAAGAAGAAAAGAAGAACGATCTGAGAATCTCGTGCCCTCGCTAGGGGGGCCAAGGCAAAACCTGTAACACGCTACGGCGTTACAAGGATCCTTAATCAAACCTTGACACGGGCCCCACCTGAAGCATGTGGGGCCTTGTTACAGAATGGCAGGAAGGCAAGATCGCTTCTGCGTGCAGTCCACTGTCCATAATGAGCGCAGAGCGTCGGCGTGCCCATGGCAGAGTAGTCCCAGTTCAGTAATCAGTCAATCTCCCCCCTCGAGCCTATCGGACGGGTCGCCTAACTAGGGATCCCTACACCTTGCTCTGTTGTAAATTGGCAAATTATGTCATGATACGGCGCTCGGTATACTCCGTGATTTTTCTATCGCGCTTCGCTTCCCCGTCTCAGCCTCGGATGGCTCCCTCCCTATGTGCTATGTCTTTGACTCAATCCAGGATCGCTGCTGGAGCCGAAATGGTTGAGATTATTCTTGTCCGGATTGACTGGCTTTGGGGGGGTTCACTCGTCCAAGGAACAAGACCCGCTATTCCCCATTGTGTACGGATTGACTGGATCGCTTGACTAAGGATTTACGGCGGTTCTTATTGGCGAGAGCCCTCCACCCGATGGATCGTGGATTGTAAATGAATTTTTCCGCAGAAAAAGAAAAGAAATAAACGTATTTGACCAAATTTGGCTCAAAGCCCCAGATAAACTGTTCTCGAAGGTGCAATGTGGCGGGCTCGATGTCATCGGCCAGCACTAGGGAAATTAAGCTATGCACAGTGGAAGCCCCAGAACGTGCGCGAGATTCCAAAGGCAGACTAACGTGGAAAAATTAAATAAAAGCTTAAAGAAAAAGGGGGGGAGGAGCTAGGTCTCATAACAAAAAAAAATGGAAAGCGTAAGACAAGAAAAAGAAGTCAATATAGAGAGGAATAAATCGAGAAATATCATACCCAACAAAAAGCCCGCAAGTGTCATCCATTGCGTGTTTGTGCATTTCTCGGTATGTACACAGATTTACATCAGCCGTGGACCCTGAAATCTGTTTTTAGTACCAAGAAATCTGTGGTTCGTTCCTGGGCGATACAATGGATTTTTACTCGTGCAAATTTTCGCCCAAGAGTACAACGGTAGACAGCGCGGCGTACTCCGAGGGCCAGGATCCATGCTATTATTATGGCATGTAATGCGTGCATTTCCAAATTAGAGCTCTACTCTTATAATCCCTCATACCAAGGCTAAATTCTGGAGCTAGCTGCAAAGCACCCCTTCGAGAAGCGATCAAGGTTTCCAGCGATCACCTCCGAAATCACGACAAGACAGAAACGTTCTTTGGGTCGAACGGATCCGAGGAGCTACAAGCTCATTGGTCACAGCAGCCGACCTTTGCTTTCATCGCCAATCACTTCGCTGGGGGCTTGGAGGAAGAATTCCCCAGTTCATCAAGGATTGACAGGTGCATCTCTCCTGGCTCTAAACCCAACGTGGAACTGCGGCGACCCAACTTCCAACACTTTGAACCTCCACTCTGGGCCCACTGTGTCAGGGCTCCCAGACCATGGTTCTTCGAGTCTACCTCATTTGCCATGAACCGGCTCTGAGAAGAGGGGGGGGGGGTCCTATCATACGCAATCAGGGGCTTCTCGGGGTTTACCCAATCGATCGGCCTCTGGCCAGAATAATGCAGAATATGCATGCCTCCCTCGAGTAAGTTGTACCGAGTGTTTAAAAAAAGAAACAATGGGGATGGGGAAGGAAATGCGATGAAACAGACGTGAGAAGGGAAGACAGGGAAAATGCATATTGCTGGCTAGG